GGGGGGGGGGGGGGGGAGGGTGCATGAAAAATAAAATTGACCGAGACTAAATAATAATAACAAGACTAAATAAATTGAGATGAAGAAAAATAAAATAGGATATTCAACACAATGCTACTAGTAAGTTGCTGCTAACTCACCACTAAGTTACTACCTATGAGGCCAAGCTCTCTCAACTGTTGTTGTTCACCTTGTAACTAAGGACTGACAGATTGTCAGCTCCTTTCCTTTCCTTTTCCTGCGTGCAGCTTGCTGTTGTCTAGAAGTATTTCTTGCGCTTGACTCCCATCCCTCAGATCTCTCCTCGACCTTCCATCCTCCATCTCGATAGATATCTACCACTGCCTCCCCGATTTACTACGGCTCTCCCTGCAAATATCGATCTCCACCTACTCCAACATCCACCCTGGGCCGGTCCGCTTGTACCTGGCGAACACAGAACTTAAGAATTGCAGCAGCTGCCCTTGTACGACCATCGCGTTGCAACTTCGCCCAGACCCCAGAGCTTTCTGGCTTTTTTCGTCGAGAAATTCGATCTACCGGTTGCTGTTGTCATTGATAATAATTATCATTTGATCCGTTGTTTCCAATACGAAAGGAACGCACGGCTCGTACTGTTGTTAGTATTATTATCGGCTACTCTGGACTCGGCGGGCACCAACACCACCACCACCACCACCACTAGTACCATCATCATTCTTATTATTGCTCTCACCTCCTCCTCCTCTGTCTCCTCATTTTTCAGCTTATTATAGCCCAGCGGTTCTGAGGCTGGGCTGGGCTGCTCACTGCGCTTACCCATTTGATTCATCATTTGGCCTGCGACTTGGCTGTCAAATGACTGGTTTGCCTCGCCGCCAATGATTGTTAATGACCCTGCAGCCATTCATACTTAATTCGCTGCGACATTCCTGCTATATTCGCCTCCTCGACCTCCTTTCTCGCTTTTTTATCTTCCACCTTCTTCTTCTCCTTCTCTTCTCTCTTCCTTCTTCCACTTTCTTCCACTCTCCCCTCCAAGTCTCCAAGTCCATTTGATTCCAAGGTCCTCACCACGCTGGCTTGTGGTTACCGCCGTACGCGTAGTCCTTCTTGCTCTACCATCTCCCTGTCTCGGTTTACTTCTACTCCTCGCCCCGTCGATCACTCTCCGCTGTCACATACCTTATCGCGGGCCCACATCTCCCGTGACACTTGGCGTCGCAGCAAACATTCGTCCTGCAGCAACCATGGCACCTGGTAGTGGACGCGATTTTAGTTGCTCTTGGCCAGGATGTAACAAGGTAATTCAATGGTCCCGCCTGCGGTTGGAATACATATTCTCCCATGAGATGAGCCAACCGGGTCAGCAAACGATACTGACGATCGTTCCCCAGTCCTTCAATCGCAAATCAGATCTCTGCAGGCATTACCGCATCCACACCAACGAACGGCCTTACCACTGCAACCACAAAGACTGCAACAAGAGTTTCATCCAGCGGAGTGCATTGACAGTACATGTGCGGACGCATACGGGCGAAAAGCCGCATCTTTGTGATCATGAAGGATGCGAGAAAGCTTTCTCGGATGTGCGTAGTGCTGATTATCCCCTCTGCCTGGGTTGGAAGCTGACCATCCTAGTCCTCGAGTCTGGCCCGTCATCGAAGGATTCACACGGGCAGGCGACCCTATATCTGTCAAGAGCCCACATGTGAGCGGAGGTATGTGTGATGATCATGATTGTTGAGAGGAAACCTATCTGATTTTGGGAAGCTTCTGTCGCAAGACCACCTTGACTAAGCACCACCAAAAAACACATGTGGCGGCCACAAGCCGCACCTCCTCCGAGGATCCTGCTTCTGACCCGGAGTATCCGCCGCCAGTTCCATTCTCTGTGCCACACGAACAATTCATACTCCCACAGGCAGCGCACTTTGGCTATGCTGCGACATCTCACAATTTCTATCCGCATCAAACTGTACAGATTACGTCGGTTCCCTTCCATGAACAGTCCCCGGTGGTAGCTTCCAGCGTGCCGGTCACGTTGTCAGCTGACGTTCCTCACGTACAGCAGCCATACATGCACTACGTCCAACAACACCATCCACAACAACATCATCCACACCAGCACTCGCAGCCCCAGCAGCGTTACGATTACTCCCGAGGATACATACCATCGGAGTATACGCAGCCCTACAGTCAGGCCCCGGTCGTTGAGTCCAACCCGGTGATGGAACCTTTACCGCAACATAACTCCGAGTACAAGCACATTCGTTTTCTGAGCCAGCCTGAAGGAACCGACTGGAGATTCCTTGGTGTGGGGGGCTGAGAAAGCGATCCACAAACCCTTTGGTTTGAAGGCGCCGGGATCCCGGATGATCCTCGGTGTCAATGCATATGTGGAAGGCTGATGCGATGAGGACCGAGTGCGGCTCTCACGGATATCAGGCTACATTTTTTTCCCACAAGGAAGCGCACGACTGTGGTTACGAGTTCCTATTTTGGTTTGTCTCTTTGGTCCAGTATTTTAGCATCTTTGAAGCCTATCTGTCGCTCTTCAAGACCTCAGTTTTTGTCTTTTGTTGCAACCGAGCTTGACCCTAATAGGAAGGAGCTTGGCGTTCCAAATGGGGCTTTTCAGGCGGCATTATGTCGTAATTCTGTTGTTGGCTTGTCTTGTCTGGATACCTTGTCGCGAATGCTGAGATGCTGTCATTTTTGCTTGCCTGCTTTTCTGCCCTGATGCCCAATGGGCGGGCAGGGAGAGGCGTGGGAGGATTGCCACACATAGACATGTGGCATTGTGGCTGCATGTACTTATTTTGGAAGAATTGCTTAACTCCCCACATGGCCCTGTCCCTTGACACTAGGGTGGTGACGAGGCGGCGCACGACCTCCAGTGATTAGAGCCGGTCGGTCTTGCTGGAATGATCGGTCGATGCCGGTAGCTTGATTTGGTCGGGGGGAGATGGGGGGGGGGGGAAGAGCTGTGTAACAGTTCCGAAGGCAACGGAAAGGCTGCACGATAGGGCGATACCCCTGGTTGACTGGTCCCAGCTTCTTGACGGGAGTACGCCGAGGGTCGTACTCCGTAGGAAGTCGTAACTCAATGAGTGATTACGGGAGGTAGTTGACGGACTGTACAACCCACGTCAGCCAAGGATTGACGGGGATGCTGAAACGGCTGGCGGGGTTCGGGGGCGGGGACAAGAAAGAGACATTGCGCGTAGCGGTAGCGGTAGTGGTAGACGCTATGCGGGAAATCGGCGATTTGGAGAAGAGGGTGCAGCCAGCCAAGCCAGCTCTTTTCCATTTTTTTTCTTTTTTTTTTCCGTTCTCTTTTTTTTCTGTTGTCGAATATACCCCAGCAGCCGCGGCAAGATTCGTTATCCTTTACTGTGGGCTAAGCACGGCAATAACACCATCACCACCACCACCATCTGGGTCTGGGGATGATAGTTAGTGCAATGTATGGCAGGCCAGCAACACCACCTACAAATGGGCGGGGAAGGAGGGAAAGTTAGCCGTCATATCATATCAAATCAAGTCCCGTCAGATTCCCCAAATTAAGTGTGTGTCAACGCCACAACCCATCGCGGGAAAAGCACACACCACACAGACACACAGACACAGACACACAGACACACCCGTGGAACGCCTCTCCCGATCGAAGCTTAATACCGATATCTGATGCATGGTTGCTTACCCTGGCGGCACCACTACGTCGACCTCCACCGCCCTCGGTTTCCCGCTGATGATACACAGTATTCACGGCAGTATGTTATAGTATCTCTTTCCATGAGATGCTGGGATTGATCGATCTATCTAGTAACTGGCTCTTTTGCAAAGGTATACATCAACTCATCACGGTGATGGGATCAGGGTCCAGACCCTTGAACAAGGATGAGCAATACAAGGAACTCAAGCAAATCATGGTCATCATTATCACTATCGCTCTTTGCCGAAAGGGCCAGACGCAAAGTCTCGAAAATCCACGCAAGTGAGAAAGCATGAACTAGATCTATCAGCTCCCTGCCCTATCTATCCATCTACCTATCTAGTATGCATCTACGAAGTCATCTATCTATCCATCTATCCAAACCACAATGGAGACAGCCTATCAGACAAGCGATGGAAACTAATCCCGAACGATAGATACCATTCCTCTAATTGGTTTCTTTTCTTCTTCGGGAGAAGATTCGTGGAATCGGTGGCCGAAAGAAACTCGCAAAAGTGGGGATGGTGAGAAGCAAACAAATCCTGATTTTCGTCATGCGGATCGGGCTGGGTGGTTAGTGGGATGGAATGGAGGTTTAACTTAGTGGATGTCGACGATAGGAGATAGTATCCGCAGGAACTCGGGCGGTGGTGATCAGCATAGTAATTTACCTGATATTGAGGGGCTTTTGTTGATCGTTGTCTTGTTTGGACTGGACAGAGTGGACTAAAAAAGGTACACTAGAGGGAGTGGGAGTGGGATGGTTGTTGGCTTTTGGTCGGGTAAGGTGTGGGTTGGAGAAGAGATGGGCCGGTCCGAAATGAAAAAATGATAGACGACTACACTAAGTGTCGTAGAGTGTAGGTGTACCACTGTCCACGCAGTGAACTGGATCATGGTTTTCCAAGTTGTCTGGGAGGGGGTCCCGTTCTCTTGGGGGTGGAGATGGTATAATTTGATGGGTTGAGATGGGACCAAATCAGGTACAGTATAACTAATCCTTGACTCTTGTCGACAGGCGAAGAGGCGAGGACGCGAAGAGAAACTGAGACAAACCGGACCGTGATGGATGAGGCACAGCGAGGATGACGTTGATGCCGGTGGAAATGACAGGGTTTAGCGGTTTAGCGATGACCCAGTACCCAGTAGGTCACCAACTGAACTATTGGACAATACGGAGTGGAAACTACCTACCTGCTGTGGCGGCGGCAGCCCCGGATGCAGCGCTGCAATCAGCTTAGTGTCTGTATGATGCACGGTACTGTACACCTTATGTCGAAGCAAGTACAAAGTACCTAAAGTACCCTCGCCCTCGCTGACATGGCTCATCCATTAGTGTGCTGCCTCGGTTAGAAAGATAGCAGCCAAAACCCCTGTGACCATCGCAGCAGCATTGACAGATAGATGCAAAAGACGCCCCAAGAAACCCCGGGTAGCGACATGGATACCCGTCCTAATCCTTCCTTTTCTTGAAAAAAAGTTGGTTGAACCCGGACAATCTAGACCTTCTAGTAGCAGCACAATGTTGCTAACGGGAAGGAAAGGGAGTTAGTCTAGACCAGATTACCTACTAGTAGTTAGCTGCCCACGTATGTCGCATCCTCCGTAAGATTGCCTCGATGGGCTTTCAGCGCGCCGAGTCACCTGGTGTTATTTTCCGGCGTCTAGTACTGGCTGTATCCCTCGTGTTCAACCTGGAGTTGCGAATTGGACTAGTTAATTAGAGAATTTGGCGCAGGTGTGGGGAGGAGGAATTGTATGCGGGGGGAGAGGAGAAGGAGGAGGAAGTGACTTGCTACTAACCGATGGCGACGATGCGATGCGAGGTGATGCGAGGGTCTACGTTGCTTGGGACCATTGAGATAACATCACTACAGAGTATCATGTCCAAATCAACTCTCTTCTCCACTTCCCTAGTAGATAGCTAGTCTCAACTTGTGTTTATGAAGTGTGAGTGCTTAGAAAGTGTTGGTGCCTTATGCCCGGTTGCCCCATGGCCTCAGGAATACCCCCTCAGTGGAGGGGGGCCTGTCACCATGTGATTGATCCAGAGTAACATGACGCAGCTGTCAGTTCGTGAACCGAGCTATGGAATATCGGGTGTCTCGGGAGTACAGTAGGTTTCTCATCGAAGTACTCCGTACATAGAGACAGTCCAGTACTCCATCCATTTCTCATTGCGGACCACGTGGTAAGGCAGTGTTGTACTTTGATTGCCATTCCAGCTGAATCACTATCACACAATCAACTAACTAGCCCCCCTTTCAACTCTCCTATTCTTCCCGTCTTGCGAGCTGTGGTTCACTGCATGCCAATAGCAGGGCGTCCTATTGATCTACCCCTGTATTCTCACTCATATCAAGCCTCGTTTCCCTTCATCAACTCCTCCCTTCCTCTCGTTCTCTTCTGCCCTTTTAGTCTGTTTCCATCCCGTGTTTGCTGCTGCTTCACCAGCTATCAACGATCACATCGGGACGGGCAACTCGGCCCAAGACTTCCAAATCGAGGCGAGGAAACGGGAAATTGAAGAGGGATGTGATGAAAGTGATCATTTCTGCAGATTTCAAAGTCTTGTTGTACGGTGGAGAGTTTCTTGTCTCGCCCGGCGAGAAGGGGATCTGGATGCATACATCGAGAGAGGTCGGTATCTACTGTACGGTACGGTGTACATGATAACTACTTCCTACTCCCTAGGAAGAAGTACTCCCGCCTCCGTACATGCATTCACCTGACTAGGGGAAGAGCTTCTGCCCAGTACAGCACCTCTCCTCCCCGTGAGTCCCAGAAGGGTATGCTAGATTCGAGACCCTCGATCGTGTTTGCCTAACAACCCCTCGTCCCATTGAGGCGACCGATGATGATGCTATTGCAGGAGGTGAGGTATGTCGCTGCCTGAAGACCTCCAGGATGTGCATTGGGTTGATGAGGGGAGTTGTTTCTCTTTGCTAAAGAAATATATTACTGGACGAAATGCTATATTTTGCATGGAAACATAACTAAGTAGCGAGGGCGAGAGAGAAAAGTACCATGCATTTAAATTGACCGTTTGTTAGTGACTTGTCTTTCAGCTGCGCTAATGAGCTGATCGGCTGCGAACAGCTGCTGTGAAACACTGTCTCTATCTATCTATCGCTTTGCTTCTTGTACATACTGTAACTTATCCTCTACCTTCACATTTTCCTTGCGATGTCGTGTCTGCCCCGCATTCAGCGCCGAGCATGACCGAAGAAACGGTTACAGTAAGAATATAGAGAAGATGAGGGGTTTCAGATCATGACTGCTGAAACCCAGATCCCACAATCGGGGATCATACGAGGGTATGACCAATCTCTGGGGTATACCTTTGCTACCTTGTATGTATGTATGTATGTATGTATATGCTGTACTGTACACGATGGCTAAGGAGACAGATGTGGTGAGCATACACAACCTACTACCAGACAGAATCACACCTTCCAACGCAATCCTTTCTTCGTACATCCCTCCAAACGTAACACCAAACCCCCCCGGATTATCAAAAAGAAAAAGGAACAGGCAATGAGGCGTTACCCGTCTATGACGCACCCACACTTCCACAGCATGCAACGTCAACGCCTCATCTGATCTGTCCGATGTCCCTTGACTCAATCGAGGTAACTGTCTACTTATGGAGTTGGACTCCGCATCGGTGCATACTTTTACGTCCTTTCCGCTTCGTACACTTATTATGCATACATATTTACAGGCGATGATTGCGCTTTCTCCGCGGACTGTCAAGTCACTCACTGACGGTAATTGAGGGGAGTGCCAATTCCCGAGCATTGAGCGTGAAGTACCTAGTTACTAGCCAACGGGCTCACTCACTACGTTTTGAACTAACTATTGACCCATTTGCCCGAGAGAGATAACTTCCACTTACAACGCTTACTAGCTCATGCACGAAATTAATTTTCCAGAAAACCAGTGCTGAAGTAGAGAGCTAGCTGTCCAACCGGGCTGAATTGCAGATTCTGCACCCATGATTGACTTTGCCCAGATAGACATTGCCAGGCGGTTCTCCTTGACTCGCATCCACACAGCGAAAGAAAGGAAAAGCACAGGGGAAAGAGCCCCGTCCTTCTTTCCCTAGCGCGCTTTCGGCATCTCGCTCCCGCTTACTGTTGCACAGGGCAGGACCGGGCAGGTTGTTTTGGCGTTTGGGTTGGTCACGCAGACCCTGGGGTACCGGAGGGACAGGACACTTGCATTCTGAGAGATGGTTATGACCATGCGATGATGACGGGTGATGGGAGGCTCTCACAGGGTAGACAAAGTGATTGGGGAGACGTTTTCCACCCCGTGGGTAGGTAGGTACCACGAGCCGCGTGGTTTGGAAGTTTGGTGGGGATATTCACCGAGTTCAATTCGGCGAGTTGTGAGGGGCAGGTGAGGATGGGACATTGTGCTGTGCAATGTCTAGTAGATAAGTGAAGATATGATATGTGTTCATAATACATGTAATCAACTTGATGTTGATATCGACGAAAACTAGACAACCCCTTCTGAAGCTTGACTAGTAGCGCTACATCTTCGCATCCACCCTCAAAGTTATGTACCTACTTTAGCTTTCAACGTCTACGACCCTCCCTATCACACTAGAAAAATGAACATCTACAAGATAAGCTTACCTCTTCATATCATCAACCTACTCATCTGATCCACCCCTCGACCAGAACCCATGCTCCAGCTGAAGCTGAGTCCCCGAGTATAGTACCAAGGGCCCACGACAAGCACCGGGACAAACCAGACGCCTCAACACCCTCTCACAGACAGACCCTGAGTGAAAGCGCAAATTTGGCCCCCACAGCGACGTTATAACGATGTCGACCAACCAAACCTTCGAAACCATCTTCTCATCCATGCTCTGTGCTCCAAGAATCTCGCCAATGCCTCCGCTCTCTGAAGAATAATCGGGAGAATGGCAAAGCTGTATCACCATCGGACTGTATCCAAACCTCAACCACCATCGAGTCGTCTGTCCAAAAGCTATGTTGTCCAACAACCACACTCTCTCTTTCTCCGAGTCTCTCTTCGGAGCAGATTGGGCATTGCCACGAGAAAACAACCTCATCCATTTCGTCCAATCTCCAAGGATCCAAAACCTCAAAACAACATATAAAAACCCCATCTCCAACCCAGTCACCTTCCTAATACCATCACCTTAAACACAAAGCATCCAAAACCACAGTCTCAAGATCATCAACCACCAAAACCCCCAGCCCAAGAACCTCCCCACAAATTTCTGTGATTTAAACCACCGAAAATGCGCTTCATCATCCCTCTCACCCTCCTCCTCACCTCCCTCGTTCTCGGCGCCCCCACGGCCGACCCCGACACCACGAATGTCGAGGCTGCTGCGGACGCGGCGGCACCCGCTGACGAGTTCGATATCCAGCGGTGCCGTCGCGGGTATGATCAGTGTATGAACAGTTGTCATCGGAATAATGGGGGGCAGCGGTGTTATCATGTATGTTCTCTTTTTTTCTTCTTTGGGGGTTGGTTTGTTTTGATGTGGATGGGGACGGGAACGGGGATGGGGATGAGGAAGCGACCCGGAAAGGGGAACGGGGGTCCGTATGGGATAGGAGGGTGTGGTGGTTAGGAGGTGAAAAGGATTGATGAAATGGATGATTCGATATATGAATAGTGCTAACTGGTTGTTTCCACTGGAACCTCCGTGGGGGGTTGCTGGGAGGAAACTCTTGATGCTTACTTAGGCTTGTTATGTGCATTACTGTCAGTAGATGCATCGAGCTGTCCAGCTGTCAGAGAGGACGCTTTGAGAGTGGAGGGAAAAAAGGAGGCGGAGACGAGAAGGTGGAGGTGATGATTGATTGAGGGAGTGAATGGGAAACTGGTTTGTGTCGTTGGAACTGAGGAAGGAGGAGGTTATATCGTTTGTTGATTATCAACAAACCAATCACCCAACTACTGTCATTCGTTTCCACCTGAACTCAGAGAGAGGAAATCCACAACTTCGAAGACACTCTTCAACCTTTTTTCTTCTTCCCTTTCCCTATAGGCTTTGGATAGCACTTCTGCGCTCCTAAGTATCCTACATGATGAACGAATTCATCACACTGATCACATCTACGACCACCATGAGTATCCCTGCCATCAAGAACCGCGGACAGAATATAGCAAATAACATCAAATGCCGGCGGAGGATACACGCCCAGATAGCGGTGGAGACTGTCCAGAGAGTATAAACTGCGCTATGAGCGAGGACTATGTGGATTCGGGCTTCCATGTTTCCCAAAGAGGAGGCGTAGAAAGGGACAGCGCACGCGGCGAGAATCGGCCCAGCAAATGTATTCATCCCTACCATCAGTGAGGACCACGGGTACACCACGTCGCGGAAGCCAGTATATGCGGCTTTCCACTGGATCGAGGCGAAGGTCGCGTTGTGACCGGTCGAAAAGAAGTAGAATGACCCTAGCAGAGCGGCCATGACGGGCCAGACCCTATAACTCGTGCCGCGGGAAAGCAGGAGGAGTTGGAAGTAGAGAAGCGCAAGCAGAAAACCGCTGGTTGGAGGACTCACAAGGATACATACTAGCAAGATGGCACTGGTGAAGATGTGTGGCTTGTTGACAACATAGCGTCGAGAAGGCACGAAAGCTGAAGCGGCACCGGCAAGACTGACAAGAAGAACCATTCGAGCAACAATCATGCGATTCGTCTTAGACGTCTCTTCCGACATGATGCTTGCGAGCCAGTCTTGTTCGCTGGCTGTTTGGAGCGTCCAGAAAAGAGCATTCAAGAGGAGTGCAGGTGGAAGGTATACAGTGTGCCATGCATGGTTGGTTGGCCTTATGGCTCTGGATGTAAATATGATAAAGATGGCGGTCAGAAACGGGGCGAGGATGCGCCACGGGGTGTAGCTCTCGAGTCGGTAGAAGGTGGTTCGGCACGTCGGTGATTGTTCTTCTCGACACAGTCGGCTAAAGGAGGCGAGGCGCGTCAGTAGCAGGTTCAAAATTGGAGCAATCCGATGGGTGGAGGAGGCGAGCGTGCAGAGCCCAATGCCCGACAGGAAGAACATCAAGATTTCATCTTCCCAGATGGTGTATGAGTTCGACGCGAAGCCAGCCGAGACAACCAGAGGAAACAAGATGGCCTGCCAGGCCCCAATACTGAATTTGGTCTGCCAGCACCGGCGCACAGCACCGCGATCCACACCAGCGATCAAAGCAATCAGACTGGAAATGGCAAATCCTAGTATCAAACTCTCCAGCAAGGGGTATGCAGGGTCCGCATAGATAAAGTGACCCGCTGCAGCCAAAAGACCCATTGCGGCCCCAGCAAGCGCCGCCCGCGATTTGATCCACGCTCCATAGAAGCAAGACCCATCGATGAGCGTGCAGGTCATCGCAGTGAGACTCAGCAACCAGACCACGACCCCCTCAATCATATTCAAGACATTGAATTGCGCCCAAACTCGTCGATAACCCCTCAGCATCTCCGCCTGATAGTCCCTCAGTCCCCGAAAAGTCCGCTCCAATGAGCCTTCATCTTCAGGATCTACCTCCTCTGGTACAAAATTTTCAATGTGAATCTCAACACCGCCTGTGTGATCCCCATAAAGTCTCGTATACTCCGCATGAAACCGCTCCATCTGCGCGGCAGCCAGCGCATTCACCCTTACCAGCCGTCTCCAGTTCACATTATCCTCTTCCTTGTTCTCTGGAATCAAAGCAAAAGCCTCTGATATAGGCCGCCCCAGATTATTGAACGGAATAGGCACCCCGAGCAACAGTGCCAGCGTAGAGACAATATCCACCTGAGGCACCGCCGCCTCCAAGCCCCCTATAACCTGTTCCCCATTATTCCGACCACCACCATCAGCGACCCTCTTTCCCACAAACTCCCGGGGCGAATACAACCACACGGCAGCCAAAACTTCCTCCAGTGTTTCGCCCCCATGGTTCCCATTTTCGTCCATTCCATGATCTCCCATGACGACCAAGACCGTCTCCTCGTCGTTGTCAATGGCTGCTACCACCTCCCGCATCACTGCGTTCATCTGCTGTAGCTTGGCGCGCATCAGAGGATGCCCAGCCCCGAAGCGGTGGCCGACATGATCAACTCCCAGAAAGTGGCCAACGATCACGTCCCATTCGCTGCGGAGAGCGTCGTGGCGCAGGAGCGGAAGGAGGTGGGTGGTAACACCGTTGTCAACGGTATGAAGGTCTTCCACGACAAAGGAGGGAAATGAGTGGGAGAGGTTGGGGAGGAAGTGTTCGGGGAAGAGTTTGAGCCAGGTGTCGTCGCCGAGGTGAATCAGGCGGCGTCTGCTTTGATGCGGAGAGCAGAAGTCTGAGCTCAAGTCGGACGTGCACGAAGGAGAGAAGGAAAGGAGGAGCTGGTCGAGAAGGTTGTCTTCGGTAAGCGCGGAGCCGGCAAAGTTCGAGCCAGCTTCGATGAAGGTTGGAAGAGTGCCTGTAGTAAGAGCTTTGAGCCGCTGGAGGGTGGTCGTCGGAGGGTCGGCGAGGAAGGGAAGGAGAAGGGCGTTGCGCGGGCGTTCAAGGGCGATGGTGTGCAGGACGGTGAGGGCATTGTGATAGGACTTTTCTGTCTGTGAGGATGAGTAGGGGATGGTAAAGTCGTAGCGGAGGGCATCAATGATCAGGACAATGGCTTTCTTGAAGGTTGGGCGAAGCCAGCACCCTTCATCATCTCCGTGAATCCCAGGCCATAGGACTCTCGGGGCTTGATCGCAGGAGCTTCTGGACCCTAGGATCTGGCGGGTCAGAAGAAAGCCTTTGGTGAAGAAGTAGAGACCCGACAGATGAACCAGACTGCCAAGTCCAGCCGTTCGTTAGCAATCGCCAAGAGAGCCGGCCAAAGGGAAGGAAGCTCCTCCCAAGACTTACCCGATCCAGAGGAAAAAGAGCGAGAATTGTCCTCGTTTGGAGAAAGTAGCTCGGGTCATGCTAGACGACTTGCAGCTAATACAGCTGCTGCTGTTGCTGCTGCTGCCCAAGAGTCATGAGATGCATTGAAGGTACCGTAAGAAGAGAGTATCGAGAGTATCAAGTCAGTCAGTCAGTCATTTACCGTCACACAAACAGCCACGGTAAGTACGGGTACCATGACGGTAAGAAAGTCTTCAGTGAATCGATGTTGGATGGTTTGTATCGCTGCCTGTTTGGAGAAATCTTATCCCATTGAGGTAATTTCTAACGAGGAAGTGTGCTGTCGACAGTCAGTGGAGATGGCGTCTGAGGAGAGCTAGACACTGTGGCGTCCAGTATCCACACGACAAAGTTTCTGTCAGTCGGAGTGGGGAGGGGTTACATACTATTAGCCTGTTAAATGTCGAGCGAGCACTTACGAGCAGGACGTCATGACAAATTATGGATGGTAATTATCTAATATGTACAATCGCTGCATTCAATCGCAAAGAAAAAGGAAACAGAACAGAAAAAAGTCAACCACATCAAGCTTGGAAAGAGTCATGTCCTTGGGTTTCAAGTGCATGGGCGTAGACCAATATCAGATCCAGCTTGGAATAAGCTGGCTCAAAAAATTCCAAGCAGGCTCAAAAACCTCATAAGCAATTTCCCTCGCTTGTAGACATAGCTCCAAATAATCATGCATAAACAGATTCTCTTTTCATTAACACAAAAGGTAAAACTGGCCCTCCAAAGCGTCCTGGTCTTCATTACGATGCGTCCATCGGTATCATAGGGATAGATCCTAAGCACGGGCATTATACTTCTCATTGAAAGCATTCACAGCTAGGATTCATCGTTAGTCCTGTATGGCGGCGAGGGCTCGAGATAAAAACTTACCAACAGCAATTTGCCTATAAAGCCAGTTCCTCGAGCTCTCATCCTGTACTGGGATGAAAGGACCATTGGCACCGCCCTTAAGAGTGATACTCATCCCTGTCCGCTCCTTGGAGATGGTCTGAATATCTTTCAGGCGCATGTCCCATTCCGTCCGGAGCTTCTTCGTGCGCACGAGGATGATCCGGTCGTAGGTCAACATGACCAGCATGTCTCGACCCGGGAGCTCAAGGTGCGCGATATAATCTTCGTTGAAATACTTGCCATCATCGGCCGTCTTAAGCCAGAATTGTCCGAGGGCTTCGCGTTGTGAGTACGGCCTGACAATGCCGTCGGTGCCAATGAAGCGGGTGAGGCGGACACGATCAAGGCCCTCGGCGTCGAAAACCGTGGTAGTGTTACGGACGCCTTCCGCAAGATCTAGATGATAATCAGCATCAATCCATACTCAAAGTGATGAATATACGTACTCGAGGCGAGGTCGAACGCGCCGATTGCGGGTTTTGTGGCCAAGCCCAAAACACCCTTCCCGACACCCTTGAAGAATCCTTGAATGCCCTCCTTTTCGGCACCCTGGAGAGGGTGGCGTGCAAGCCCTCCGATGCCGCTTGCGAGGCTGGTTGCGAAGGCACTTCCACCAGCCGTGATGCCATACAGAGCGTGCTTTGGTCGGTTTCGCGACTTGGACATTCGTCGCTGGTCTTGGAACTCTTTGTCCAAGGTAGCAGCAGCTAGACCCTTAGACATACTTCCGGTGAGCTTGGCCATACTGTCGGAGAAACCGAAGACAGACTTCTTCACGAAGCTGGTCGCGCCCTTCGCGATACCGATACCCAGCTCTTGAGGTCTATCAGTCATCACAAGACCCTGGTAAGGCTCGTAGAAGATGGCAGCCACTCCAGAACTGACGTTATTGAACAATCCGACAGGGTTACCCAAGAAATCAGCCGATCCCAGAACCACATGCACCTGCCGCAAGAATTCCTGGGTATAGTGCCTCTGGATATTGCTGACCAGAACCCCAAGAGACACACGGGCGTTTTCTAGCATGAGCGCATTGAGTCGAATGGGCGCGTCGTTCACGTTGCCCATTGACATAGTCATGACATGGACGAAGAACATCAGAGGATTGGATGGCTGCATTGTGTCCTCCGCGTTCACACGCTCGGTACGCATGAAAGAGATGTCGAGTTGCATTGGCTGCAGGTGAAGCAGCTCGAAATAGACGTCTGAGACAGCACCCTCAGTCTGAGGTTCTGGAATGTTCAGGTCTTCGTCACAGAGCTTGCCCTCGTGTTCCTCGGACCATGACGCACCGGGCACCTTGACAAAGTCTAACATCGCAAAGATGAAGTCCTCGTCAAGCTCTAGTGTCATCTGCTGTAAAAGAACAGTGGCATACTTGATGTAAAGTACACCATAAGAGTCGTCCTTCACACGGGTCACCATCGTGTGGAAGATTGGATGTGCTTCCATTTCCTTGCCAGTCTTCGGAACCACACTAGGGTAGAGCAATATTGGGAAGATACCACCATACAGTTGGTTGTCAATCTGGATCCACTTGATGGTAGTGTTCAAGGTCTGATAGATTCTCGACTCTCTGAACTTAACGTCAATCTCTCGGAACGTTAGATAAAGAAGTTCCTTGAGATTCTGATTGATGAGAGAAATGCCGATTCCTCCAAGGCGAAGCTGAGCCTTAAAGTTGACATCCGAGTCAAGCTCCTTGACCTCAAAACCAGTGCTAAGACTACTTTGCGATGCTTGTCCTCTGTCTTTCTGCTTATACATACTCTTGGACTGCTTGAAGTTGGACAGCATAAAGGTCTGGGTCGGCCCATCGGCAACGATGTTGATGTCGATAATCTTCTGGGTCTCCCCATACTGGGTGGGTGGAATCCTCATAGGTATCAGATTGCCGATCTCTGCGAGTCTGATATGCCTCTCTTTGCCCTTACACGTCAGAACCAGAGACTTATTTTTGGTTGCTGGATAGTCCCATGCATAGGGCATGATACTGCGCGGAGGAAGTCGGTAACGTATCGGTCGCCAGCCATCTGTTCGGTCTTCTTCATCCTCCTCGACGTTTGGATTCTGAGCGCTAATTAGCAAATTACTTGTCCGAATATAAATGCCCAAATACTTACAGCTTGATAGAAGATGAATTCCATATCACTTTCATTCCGCATGGAAAAGGGCCAGTTCCGAGATTCAAAGCTAAAATGGAGGAAGAGTGTTGCACCTTCCATGACCACATCGATTTTTATGAGCCTCTGACGTTGTTGAGCTTTAGCCAATTTGACATGCACTGTCCCAATGTCCGCGATGTTGAAAGGAGAGGACCACTGATTGTTAACGCCAGGGAAGCACAAGCTAAGCTGTTTCTCGGCAACTTGCCGCAAGAAGTAGAGAGGTACAAGTTCACCACTCTTGATGTTGAGTACATTTGATGAGCCAGGCTCACGAACCAGAATGTCTTCATTAAGCTTGTTCTTTAGAACAAACCGAGGGGCAATTGTCACCACCTTAGTCATCTTGTACTTGCCCTCACCCTCGGCGACAGAAACACCCGAGTGGAATTCCGATCGGCCATTTTGATCTGGTAAGATGACCTCGAATGTGCTTCCGATAGCCTCGAAACTCTGAGGCTTACTCCAAGCAGAGTCACCTATTCTCAGCATGGACCGGTTCTTCTGATCATCCGTATGGTAGGAATACATGTATGGGAGCGTACGTCCTCCGTTTCTGGGATCAGCTCTCAGTCCTTGCCCAGCAGCCGATCGAGCTGATTGCAAAAAGGCCTTGCTCTGGATCTCCATCGGCAAGCCGGTCTTGTTCAAAATAAGGTATGGGCTGTAGACCGAGACCTTGAAGGCTCCACCACTTTCGGGAACCCTGAAGTAGTGTAGTTTGAGTCTCAACTGAATGCCTCGCTCATCCTTGAGAGACAAGATATGCTCTCTTCTGTAATCTTGAGAATTGCCATTGATGATTGCAAAATCGCTTTGCTTGAATACCGTGTCCTCAAGATCCACGCTGAGCAGCAGTAGATGAGACAGCTCAACAACATGCACCGGGCTAACCCCACCCTTGCGCAGAAAATTGGTCCAATCCTTTTTGGTGTTCTTGTCATAGATGCGATACTTGAAATTATAAGGAAGAAGGTTTTGAATCTCAACAGGTGCAAATATCTTGATCCTCATGTATGGATAGATACCTGTGAGAGAGTCCCGATCATTGTAAGTAGCGTGCATCTGGAAGTAGAAGGGAGGAGACTGTTGCCCGCCCTCACTTAAGCATTTGATAGTCCGTGTAGGGCGACGTAGTAGGTCCTTCCAATGCAGCTGCTCATTAGACCAATCGTACCCGAACCCCTGATCAGGTCGAATCACAAGAGAATGCATGTAAGCCGCTCCGACAGGTGCAGGTCGCGACTCCCCAGGAAGGATTTTCTCGATCTTCAACAGGTGGCCTTCTTGAGGATTCAAGACGCCGAGCTCCACGGGGATTTGAGTGCTGTTTTCAACCACCAGCGGCGAACGGAAGGTGATATATTTCACATTGTCCGCACCCAACTTGACCTCGACCAGAAGTCGGTGAAGAACATTATCTTTCTTAGGTTTCAGGCTGTAGAGAATCTCCCCTTCTCTGACGACTGGGATCTTGTTTACGCTATCAAAGCCGCTCCCCTCGACCTTGATCCCAACAAGCCCAGCATGCCCCTCGGGTGCGAGTGTCTCTCTCATGGAAGTTGAATCCTCGAATCGCCAAGGGTATTCTTCACCATCGGCCAATCTAGCAGCCGGACCATCCTCGTTTGAACCAATATCCGCCCAGACGTGTAGATCGAAACCAGTATAGTTCCGGATCCGGTAAGGTGCATCAGCACCTCTAGGTTTGGAAAGAACATCTTCATCCGTAGACAGGAACTGGAATGACTTCGACGCCAGCGCAATCGTGGCAGATGTAAGAGTGAGTTCCATCGTCTTATGAGAATAAGCGTCTATGGAGAAAATCTCGGGATCAATTTCCCTGGCCACATGAAATCCCAGCTGCCATGGTTCGATCATAGGCTCCCATGCGGATTTCGAAAAGTTGTACACGTTGACGAATGTTTCAAAACTAGTATCGGCGTTCAGCGTCGTGGACCAGTCGCGGACATCAACATTGAATTTTTTGACGCTCCAATCGAGTAACGGAAGATCGTGAAGATCACCGATAAGAATAACCCTCAATCCATCAACCTGGGCGTTTAACTCTTCGCGCTTGAGAATTGCTGAGCGCTCTGGGCTTGAGGCTCGACGCGGTTTATCCGTCGTTGCATTTGATTGGCGTCGAGTTCTTGACACCACGGCCGAAGACTGTTTGCCAGACGATTGCCGTCTCGAAGACTTGGGCTTGATGCTCTTAGCCTCAGGTAGGCTCTTTACTTCACCAGTTTCGACCGGTTGCATTCTTTGAGCTCTCATCTCAGAAGCTTTGTTCACAATCTGTATCGCCATCAAAATATCGCGAAGCGAAAGGCGTAGAACCAAAGGTTCAATATGAGCATTGATAGATGTTAGCGACGAGCCCTTCTCCTGCGCACGACTATCCACTGACACCTCTAGAGTAAAATCGTCTAGAATCCGGAGCCTACTCGTTTCGAACCTGTCCATGCGACACAGAAACATGCCAACCTTACTGATTTGCAGAGTCGAGACGTTCTGATGCGAAAACAACAATTGCTTGGTTCCCAGAACAATGGCTTCAGTGTGTGCGATTGCGGGGTTTGCGATAGTAATTACTTGAGCATCAACGAGGTTAACCCTGAAAGAAACAGTCATCTGTTCTGCGGAAGCAGCAGGTGGCGCATCTTCAGTCGCCAGGGCTTCGAGCGATGCATCGTCACTTTCGGCGGTGCTGGTTCTGGGTTCCGATTCTTCAGGAGATTCGTCGCCCTCTTCTTCCACCATTGGTTCATCCGAGGCAAAAGCCGAATTTGCGAACGACTGTAAGGCAGACAGATAATCCAAAGCCAAAATGATACGCGGGCTGTCGATGGTAAGCATGGCAATCAAGTGCTTCTTCGGACCCGGGGACATCGACACGCTAGCCATGAACTGCTGCTGGACGTCGTTATTGATCAAGGACATAATCTTTCTGAACTTATTAGTGTCCTGGTTGCGACTATCCCGGATGGAAAGAGAGTGGATTAGAAGCTCAGACTCCAGGGAGCCATCTGTCAGCATTCGCAATTTGACCTTGGTGTCATTGAGTGAGAATTTGGACAAGCTGGAATCCTCCAAGCGACCTACTGGCGCATCGTCGGCGGCCAGGATAAGCTCTAGACCAACACTATCGACCTTGAAGACCATGTCCAGCCGAACCCAAGTTTCTTGTTTGACATCGTCCTGGGACATTCGCTCTCGCGACAGACTTCGCTCGATGGCTTTCGACTCGACCTCCTTGGACGGTTCAACAACTGATGAAGGAAGAGCTTCCAAGGCCTCCAGCTCTTGTTGTTCGCTATCAGTAGCGAAGGCACTAGGGACCGTCTTGGAGAGATCCAACAAGAACTTGAACTGCTTCTGCGAGATCCGAAGATTGATAGGTGACATAGACCCTTCGATCTCGATGTCTGGACGCGGATTGTCATGTTGGTGCTCGAGATAGCAGATACTGAAATCAAGGTTGACCTTTTGAATCATCTCAAGCTCCTCTACAGTATCCTCACCATAATGGAACTTGGATGTCAAACGAATGTTCCGAATGCCAGAAGAGATCAGATTAACAGCAGGACTGTCCTTCGCCTCATCAAGAGGAACGAAAGTGTTCTTGGCGTAAATTTCACCCAAGTGGGCCGTGACAGTGTCGTGTAAACCACCTTCTGTCATCGAACTTGGGAACACCAGAATTGGCGTCATCACCACCACATCGAATCGCATTCGCGAGGCATTTTCTTGCAGTTGGTTGGCTTGGTTTGCCGCAGCTTGCCGGGCAGCATTAAAGATGGCCTGCATTTTGCCGAACTTCACTAGAAAGTTGATGATTTTGCGATAGGGTTCTTCTACGAAATTGACCTTCATAGACCCTGACCTCAGGAATACCTCCGAGTCATATCCGGGGTAATCTGCACTTTCTGAGTCGAATGTCTCGTACTTAAAGTCCGCGAAGTTGTCACCCTCAATAGTGAGGAGCCTTCGGAGGTCTGAGCTCTCCGACGCACCAGTATTGACATCGTCTATGAGGGTCAGGCTTCCAATTCGCGACTGGATCAACATCGAGCGGCCCACTAAGAATATTCCAACATCAGCAGTATTTAGACTGAGCGTAGCAAGTCTGACCCCATCATTGTTGAGAATAAGAGCGATACTCTTTAGGTTGGCTTTTATGCGAATTTTGCCTGACTGCTGCGTTTGTTCGTTCGCTACAGCGAGCCCCTGATCGCTGTCATCTGCCTGAGTTGCCTGAGTGTTCGCTTGCTCTGGGCTCGTGAATGTGAGGAGAATAAAATCCAAAAGCGTCAGAAGTGTTTTCCTGGTAACAACGAGATTGATGGTTGATACGGACGTGTCGAGATTCATTGCCACGCCTTCATATGTGGAATGAAATTCCGGAGAATCTGGGTTCACTTTGACGAACTTGAGGTGGAAGAGATCTTTATTTTCGTCGGCATCGAAGCCTTTCGATGATATGATTCTCTTGAACTCCGGCACAGGGTTCTCTTCGATATAATCATCCACACTCAAAGATTTCAATACAACCTCCGCGACCATGTCGAATGGCCGCATGTAAAAGTCTAAAGCGAAGCCTTCAGCGACCAATTCGACGAGCAGGTGGTCGCGTAATTGATCACTTGGATCAGAACGGAACAATGAGCCCCGTAAACAACCCACTGTGAACTTAAACTCAAAGTCACGACGATGAATGTTCATAGGCTTGTCAATACTCTTCTGCATGCTTTCATCGTCCGACTCGTCGTCAGTTTCATCAACAACAGGCAGCTCTCTTGGGTTAGACGGTTGGAAAGAAGCTGATCTGGCCCTATTTACAGTCGCAGGACCCTCTTTCGATTGCGCTTCTGTCTTCTTTGTATCGCCACCGTCATTAAATCGAGGAATGGCAATATCAATAAGTTTCATCAGGCCCTTGTACTTTTTGTCAGACATAGATGCGTGTAGTTCTGAAAGGTGACCTGATATACGAGTCCTTGTAAGTTCAGTGACCTTGGGAACGATACACATCTCGAGAACAAAGTCTATGTTGATTCGGTCGATGATGTGTAGGTTGCGTGATTGGACATCGGAGCTAAGTTGCGATTTTGTGATTTCGATGCCGGGGCCAATGAGGACTTGAGTAGAGTCAAGTTTGAGTAGGAATCTGTCATAAAGCAAATGTTCAAGCTCCTTATAGTCTCCCTCTTCGTATTGTCGCTTCTGTTTCGATTGAAGGTCTTTCATTGTCTGCCTATCGACCAATTCGCTGTTGACACTGATATGACCGGCGTCCAAGATGAGACAGAGAGAGCTTTCTTGTGTGATACTCTCGGGAACAATGATTAGAGGCGCATGAATGTCGAACTGTGCGTCAACTTTCTTGTGCTCTTCTAACGCAAACTCCAAACCTGCTCGTGTTTGCTGCCGGATGCCTTCGACGGTAGCACCTGCCGTGTCTAAAAGAGCCCCGATGGACTCCATATGCCGCTCCGGGGGCTCGAAGAACTTGGCGATTTCGACAACGAAGGTAGGGTTGTATATCACTTCGATACTCTTCATCTTGACCTTGACAACTGAGTCTGCGTCGCTTTCGAGTGGGTTCTGCTCAAGCTGCAGATGGAACAGACCATCTTGATATGCAGAGATGTCCTCGTCAGCTTCGGAGTCTAACTCGTCATCGCCACTGGCACTGGATAAGCGGTGCTTGGGTTCTGGAAGAGAGTCTTTGACTTTGACAATTTGTGGGAAAAGACTCCCCGGGGTTGTTCCATCGTACACCCTCAACCCACCAAGGTTGACGTCAATGAAGAAAGAATCAGGACGTTGCAAAGCTTTGGCTCGGAAGTTGTCAAACACCATTTTCATAACCTCATCCGCTCTCGCGTGGGGATCCCGTTTCAGAGTGAAGCTGCCCGCCTTTAGGCCGGCGTTAACTTGAAGCTTGACCCATTCTCTAGGTACATCCACACTTTCCGCGATCGCCTTCTTCTCGTCCCAGTCAATTGCATTATATAGCTCCTGTCGTTGCTCTTCTGTCATTGTGGTCTCCTCCGACTGTTCTTTCTTGGTACCCCAGAACCATTCACCCCATGTCTGCTGTTGAGCTGGTTTCTTGACGCCGACGTTCTCCTTGCGCAATTGGTTTCGTGCCAGTGAGCGCCAGAAGCGGATATCTTCATAGCTCAACTTCCTTTGAAGTTGATCGAATTTCTCCGCGTCCAGTCCAGCGAGCGTTCCTTCGCGCTTCTGTTTCTTGAACAGATCTATGTAGGTGATGCGATCATCTCTCCGCTCTTTCTGGTAAGCCCATGTCCAACGCCTATTGCGATCGTGAATTTTGCTGAGTACGGCCTCGCCAGCAAATCTCAGCCATGCTCTGGGATCCTCCTTGGGTCGACATTTAGGTTGGAGCTTCTTGTATTCTTGATGGCGGATGAAGTAATGGAACAGATCTACAAGCATCAGAGCATCACGGTACTGATGATCGTCGAGAACAAAGCTTAGTTCGTCAAACAGGAGCCTAGCTTTGAGGGACGGCCTGTCATGTTTGCCCGATTTGTCCAACTCCAAGCCTGCTCGGCCGCTGACAGGGCGCAACATGAACTGGGCGCTGTCTTGGTTATCGATACCGGCCTTTAACTTTTCGAGCAGCTCGGCATGCTCAATTCCTTGGGCTTCGGCGCCCAAATCGGAACCGCGCCCTGTACCCAGTAGTTCTGCATCGGTATTCCAATACACGGCAAGGGCCCCCAAGATGGCCAGTTTGTGTGTTGTGCTGGAAGTGGACTGGATGAAGGTGGGGTTCCACTCCGCATCGGTACTAACGGCGCTCAGCTCCTTGAGTGTCACACCGACGGCAAACGGGTGGGAGGGCGAAGCGATCGAGTCCTCGTAACGGAAGTGAACATTCTTGATGGAGATCTGAAGGTTGTCAACAACGGCAGTCACCAGACTCTGGGTGAAACTCTGGTTTCGGCGTTGCTCCTCCTGGCTCATACCCTCCGAGTTGCGCTCTTTCAGCATCTCTGCACTCTCGATCTTATCCATCTTCAGGGCATGCGCTCGCCTCTCTTCCTCCTCGGGATCGTAGTCTGCGTCCTCCTTAGGAGCTGCGAGAAGAAACACATCTTCGATGTCAACTCGTACGGGTTTGCCTCGGAGGTTCGACCACGGAATGGATAGGGTGAGCTGGCCGACATGTCCTTCGACAACGTTGAGGGGGAGATGGAGCTGATCAAGAGCTTCTCGCCTGAGTTCCAGGTTATGTAGTTTCACATCGCCTGACCAGATTCCAATATTTAGCTGCTTTGCATCGAAGTTCTTGACATAGATGCCCAGGAAGCGGTTGAGTAGATTGGCAACCAATCCCTCCAACATGGCTGCGGGGTACGGCCGTAACCCGGGCCTGGGAAGAGATTACTGGCAGCTCTAGGACAAGAGGTGGGGGTAAGGCGGTCACTCGTGGGTGTGAATCAGCCTAAAAGTGTATCCCATGGGTTAGTAAAGTGATGAAGCATCAGATAAGATTATTGGAACGAAGAGGATAGCAGCCGATGAGGTATGAGATCATCAATGTGAGCTTACTATGAAGCGCGAGCGTTAGTTGCACTCGCTGACGGTTGAGAACAGAGCCATGCAGATTAAAGCTTGGTGTGCACGCGATAGTGTTGCCGGTGAGCTGCGAAAATAAAAGATATGTTCTCCGGAACGTGCTTTAAGGGACGAGTGCGGAGAGAGAAAAGCCGGGCGCAGACCACCACGGACGGGGGTGCCTTCTATAGAAGATGAGCAGACAGGTACAGGAATAGAGAATGGAGGGGAAGTTAAGGTTGGGTATCAACCTAGAGCGACTTACCCAATTGTGATGAGATGAATAAGAGGATGGATCCCCAAGATAGATAGAGCAATAGGGCTGCCGTCAGAGACGAGTGTGGTTCACTCTGTACCTGGGAAAGCATGAACTGGGCCAACAATAATAATAATAATAGGGGGGGTGGAAAGAGGGGACTTGCGTTGGGAGACTTAGTGACGCGCGGGCACAGCAAGTGACGTCGGTGCTTCTCTCCTGTCCCCGTACCGCCCACCAGCAGAAAGCATCCACTACGCCAGGCTCAGCTCGGGCTCGATAGAGGACTGACCGGGTTGGGCTTAGTTCATTAGGGCTACGCCCTAGTGCTGAGTCAGCCTCGTGACTCGCCGGCCTATAGTGCCTGAGGCATTAACTATGACACCTGCGGGATTGGAGCCTATGGTACACCCGAGCTTCGACGTTACCGCACCTCAGTCTAATATCACCTCATTCATTCGTGGTCTTCAGGCTCAATTGCTCCCCCTCCGGCCATACATCTCCACTCTCACGAGTCCAACTCGACCGAAATCCGGGTGAACACCCTCTTCTCCGCTCCTACACCTCTTTCTCTTTCTTCTTCCAGCTCAATTGGGTGCGTGACCTCCCCCGTGCGGTGCTCGATCCGAGCTTTCCAGCCATCTCTCCACTTTGCTAACTGCGGACTTCGGAGGAAAAAATTAGCTGTCTCGAGGACGACAATGCTCTACAGAACCACTGCTGCCCGCTCTGTGCTCAGAGCTTTCCAGAGCTCCAACGGCTCTGTCGCCCGCTCGGTCCTGTCCAACAATGTCTTCAAGGCTCCCTTGACCTCTTCCGCTCGCTTCCCCGTTCGCCCGAGCTCCCCCAGCCTCGCTCTGGCTGCTCGCAAGCCCGTCACCACTGCTCTTATCCGCCATGCTTCCACCTCCCACAAGGTGAGGGAGATCCTGACGCGGACGTGGTTCAACTGCTGACCGAGCTCAACAGGACGGCGAGGAGGATACCGACATGATGGCCGGCATGAAGGCTGAGGCTGTATGTGTTCCCGGATTTCCCCGATCGCCTCCAATGCTATCCCTTTTGCGGGGTTGAACATGCCTAGACTACTGGCGCCGCTGACATTGGTGATTGTTACTCCCCTACAGAAAGTGATCAAGGACACCTTCAGCCTGGAGGCTGTCCCCAAGGAGGCTCTCTACCTCGGAATGGCCGGTGTCATTCCCTACCTTGCTACCTCCCTCGAGACTGTCTACCTCTCCTGGGAGATCAAGAACGCCGCCATTGCCGGTGACGGTCTGCTCTTCTCCGGTCAGAGCGCCGAATTGCTGCTGCACATGCTCGAGCCCGTCCAGGTCGGCTACGGTGCTGTCGTAAGTTAATGGCCCCATATCTCACCGACGCCTTGCCCCACGCTTTGGCCTTGGGGAGTAGAGTCAAGGAAAAGCCGAGCTAACACAGACTTTCCCCCCTAAATCCAGATTCTCTCCTTCCTCGGAGCCATCCACTGGGGTCTCGAGTGGGCCGGTTACGGCGGTAAGTACGGCTACAAGCGCTACGCCGCCGGTATCGTCGCCCCCGCCGTTGCCTGGCCTACTCTGCTGCTCCCCGTCGAGTACGCCCTGATCTCGCAGTTCCTCGCCTTCACCTTCCTGTACTACAACGACGCCCGTGCCTCCGCCTCCGGCCGCGCCCCCGCCTGGTACGGCATGTACCGCTTCGTCCTGACCTTCATCGTCGGTGCCAGCATCGTCGCCAGCTTGATCGGCCGCGAGCAGATCTCCGGTACCCTTACCGGCGAGCACACCATCAAGGACAAGATCAACGCCCTGATCTTCCTGCAGAAGAAGGAGAAGGAGGAGGCCGAGGCCCGCAAGCGCGCCGAGCTTGAGGATGCTGAGTAAATTTCTGTTTCATTAAGAAATCCTCAGAGTCGTTGTGCCAGTATAGTATCCGATGAAGAAAGAGAAAAGAGGAAAGCGTGTTGTAGGAGAAGAGGGGGAGTGTCGATGTGATTGATTGTATCCTTTTGAATATTGGTTGAGTTTTTCTTGTAGATTACAATGCGAAGTTCAACGATGCCCTCAGCCGGTCTGGCTGGTTGCTTTTCATTTGTCACGAAGCCTTCCTCTGGTAGTAAGATAGTAGTCGACTGTCGATAGGTAAGGTAAGGTGACCTCAGCCCTGTCGATCAATAGCTACTACACGTAGCGCCTCCCTTAAATGAAGCAAAATCAGTTAGCAGTTAGATAGTTACCCAGTGCCTCAGCCCAGCCAAACACCACCCATCCCCATAACCAAAACCAAAACAAAAAACAAAAAGAAAATAAACCCCCCCGCCCCCAAGGGCCCAAAGGGAAGAAAGGGAAGGGAGGATAACCCCCAGACCCAACATCCCCAGCATCCCCAGCATCCCCAGTCCCCAATCCTCAGAACCCAGAATCCCCCAAGCGGCAGCAGATTACGAGCTACATGAGTGATGTATGCACTTGTATAGGCAGGGCACAATATAAAAGCAATGCAACCCCATCATGTGACGCAGTGCACGCACCACCAAAATCCAATGCATAAATGGAATTTTGGCGGGAAGCGCCCAGACAGGGTTTTGTGGGGCAAAAAGCAAAAGCAAAATAGAGAGGACCGCAAGCAGAAGAGGAGTCAACCATCGATTGAAGAATATAAGATACGTGGATGTATGAAGGTCGCCCGCGCGCCACCGCCGGCAAGGGATATGGAATGGCGGGTGAAGAACTGTCCCAAGATCTCATCATCCGGGAGGGCTGGGGCTGGGGGAGGGGGGCGGGGGTGATGGGTACGGTATGTCGTCCATGGATGCCGATGATGGAGAGAGAGACAGAGAGAGAGAGAGAGAGATGTCCGCAAAGGGGCTGAGAGGTCCAGAGCCTGTCCTAGACAAGCAAGAGGAAGAAGGGAAGGTTAGCCGGGCGGCGGTGGGGGATGTCGTTATCGGTGCGGAAGGACGAAAGCATGAGCAGTGCGTTGTCAACCACCATCCCGGTAAGTTCTCGAATCTACCTAGTAGGTATGAATACTACTCCGGAGTGCGATGGGAGGAATGACCTATAAGGGGAGGACTGGAGAGGATCGTCAATTACATAGTACTCCGTACTCTGTATGAGTTGGTAGAATGTATTTCAGCACTGCTTTGTCGAAGGACGGGACTGTCAAGTCTCTACTCCTAGAGTACAAACACTGGCCCCGTCCGTTAGGTAGTTTCTACACCTGGATTGTATTTTGCAGATCCAGACCCTCTCCAATGACGAATTCAGGCGAAACAGGTTTCCGCGTTGGTCTCGACGGCGACGATGGCGACGACTTTATGATGGATTAATAGCAATCTCAGCACACTGGTCTATTATGCCTCTTGATTGGTGGTAGTGCCTCCGAGGTGTAAACTTGAAAGGCTGTAATTTTATATAGCAAAGGTGAAGACCTACACACGAATCATACTAAAGGTGTAGGACAAGGTACATTTATGTATTCAAATCAATGCAGCCGCCTCTGTCAGTCATCTTTCTATGTACATAAACAGAAGAGGCTAAGTTAGGTTTGGCGTGATTGTGCTCTAGAGTATGAGTCGGTTGATCTATTTGCATGATTTGAGACCCTATTCTTGGCACACGTTTGGGGAGGATCTGACAAAGTGATCCGAGTGATTGAGGTCATACCGAGTCGGGAATGCTATCATTCCGTCTCGAACCTATTGATCTTCCTTGGGAGCAGAGCCACAACGGTCCCTGGCGGACGTGTTCGTATACCTGATTGGAGCTAGGATTCAGGTGAATTAGGAGGGTAGAAGGGTCGATCAATTGTCATGGTCCGTGGAGACGGTGTCGTTCATGAAGCTGAGGTGCCAGTTCAGTTTTTACTTCACAGGGTCGTGTCTGGTTGCTGCATGAATCGAACTTGGGTGCAACCCATTGGGGTGCGGGCGGAAGTTGTGGTTGAAGACGTCACCACCCGCTTTTTGAGCTGGGTCCGTGGAGCCAAAACACATACATACATACATCATTGTGGATGAAAAGGGATTAAGAAAAAAAAAAAAAAAAAAGCTGCAGAAAACTGCGTGTCAGCTCGTAGGGCAGAAGTCAAGAAGGGCACATGGGAGGAAGCCTGAGTCGCTGATTAACTCAAATATACAACCATGAAACTTCAAGAGTCGATTGCTTATCAAGACGTTCCCATCTTGACTATGGAGGAGGGCAGGCAGTGGCCGGGACAATTCGATCCCGTGGCGGCCGTGGCTTCCCCCAAGACAGCTAGCCGCTCCCTTAAACCACGCCGAACCGACTCCCGGCTGGCAACAATTTCTCCGTAAATCAGAGAGCCGAACGAGCGCCTCTGCATCTGGCTATACCACACGCTAAAAGTATACAAGCCAGGGGCAGTCTACCGGTAGACAATCCCTAGTCAGGGCCGAAAATCAGAGCCATTCTACCGTAGCTCTATACAACCATGTTCTCCCCTTATACGTTCATTTTTCATTCGATTAGTGCAGGTAGTGCAGGTAACTCACAAGAAGTTCTCTTGCAGAGTTGGTTTGTCCTACTTGTGATGATAGAACCAGCCTACACAATATCCATTGAATCTGGATTGTAAAGGGAAATAGCAAGACCACTTCAAGACAATCGGCGATATCCCGCATCCACAAAGTGTTCAAATGATCAGAAAAAAAATTGAGCCAGGGGTAAAAAAAGACCCCGGTCTAGAATCCGGATTTAGTGCAACGCGTGCGTGAAAAATAGACTAGTTCACTAGTAGGAGAAAATTGGACATTGTCATGTGCTCGATCGACGAGAATCTTCGGAGGGACACACCCGCAGAGCCCCTCCTTTGGGCGGGCTTCTTTGCCATGGGACCGTAACGAGTTCATACTTCGGATGTCGGTCTCTCGCAAGGACAACGATAGATACCAAGGGGGCTCTTCATTCTCCAAACCTGGAGGGATTGAGGTGGACGACCATTGGGCGTCAAAGAATGCCAGTTGTAGATCTACTAAGTATCACAGTAGCCTATCTGTACAACTATCTTGTACATACTTCGTACATCTGGATGTCAAGTCAGGCAGGCATGTGGATGCGCGCTGCAGGGCTAGTCTGGTTCATCCTTCGATGACCGATCACTTCCCACCAACGCCGCGACTTGGTCCTTGCGCTCCCAAATTTTTCCGCGTGGGATACTAGGTAGTCAATCTAACTCAATGCCGTGACTGGTGGCATCGGTATCATTCCATCTCGTTACCAACTGCTTGTTTCAAAGGAAGAATCAATCATTGATGGATTGTTAGGAGTTCCAGGTAGTTTCTTGCAGGGGCCCCAGATACAGTAGGCACAGACGCAGCTAATTTATGCGGGTGGAGGGAAGAGAAAACCATGGAAGATTTATGGGTCTCATGGGATGTCATGTGGAAGTCTGGCGACTATTCTTAGTGATTCTGTCTTCCCCCAATGCGGTAATCAAGGCACTTTATTCTGCCAGGACAAGAATGAAGAGTCCCAACTCGGCTTGCGAAGCTCGGATATCTTGCCGATGGGGGAAGGGAACCTTGACGGACCAACCGTCGGTAACTACTCGCATTACTACATGCAAAGACTCACAAACTCAGCACTAGACATATTTCGAGTTGTCTCGGCCCTGATGAAAACCGGATTCAACGGGTCAGTGACGGTTTGTGACGCTACAGTAGCTCAGTTGCGAGTACATTGACGATGGGCTAGACAGCAGGTACCATCTACCTGGTTTAAACTTGATACATTAGCGATAAGAACGGGCAGGGGTTAACCTTCCCGATTTTACCACACACCTGGGGGAACATTTTGCCATGGGTGTAAGGGGAAAGGGGAGGACGAGGAAAGCCGGGGGAGGTGAAGGAAAGCACAGTTGTTCGACCCTTTTTTCGATTGGAAAGAGGGGCGAATGTCAATGCTGACGACGGACAGATGGTCGTCTGATCAGAAAAAAAAAATATAGGGGAAAAGAAAAAAAAAAAAGAAAGGTTGAATGAAGGTCCAGAAGGAAGATTGGAAGAGAGTCGAAGGAAGGGATTGCCCTCAACTCCCCCACGCCCCCACTTCTCCGCCATGGATTGAACGAACGGGGATTAAGCAGATTGCCAGTTTGGGGGTTTGGCAAATGCTGTTCGACGCAGGCTTGAACATTTGACTTGCGTCCTCGCGGGACTAGACTGAGTAGGCTCTGGAACTAGTCGCGAAAGTTGCAGTTCAGCCAGACTCCGGACATGACCAGATGGGCCCAGGAGATTCCCCGGAAGAAGCTCCCAACGGGATCCATGATACGTACAGGACAGTCACAGTCGGTAGACAGTCTAGAGCAGCCAGGGGGGTTTTGACCACTACCGCTACCACCACCAAACTGCTACTACCTGCTCCGTACTCCGTAGTACCTACCACTATCTATGTACTTAATTGAATTATTGTTTTATTCCAGATAAAATAACACTAATAAAACAATTTTTGCAAGAATTATGAAGGATTCAATTGAATTGATAATAAAATAAGTAAAGACCAGGTTCCACCTACTTGGATAAAGAGAGAGTCTTCTCCAGCTTTTGTTTCTGGACCAGATTTGATTTCTTTCTCTCTCCTCTCTTCTGCTCTTTTTCGCTGTCCACTTCCACTCTCCTCTCCATCGCTGGATAACTTGACTAAACGACCGACTATTCGACTCTTACTCATCTTACACATAATTGCTAGAGCTCCGCCTTGCCACTACGTACCCCCCCATCACTCCTCTAAAACACACCCAGATTTTTCTCTCAGTTGCTCTTCCTTTCCTCTTCCCTCCCTCCATAACAACGAGTGATATCATACCCCCCTCTCCCCCGACGCTCCCCGAACCCAACCAGGTCTTTCTACCTCTCAGGTTGCGCAGTCTCCCTCCAATTGCCGGGCAGACTTGCTTTTTGTCACCTCCATTTTTTTCCCTCCTGCTTCTCCAGATCCTGGGCTCCGGTTTCCCCACCCGATTTCACCCTAAATCACTTCTACGTCACCAAACTGTCCCCGCCGGTCTCTGCGCCAAAATTCCCGTACAACAGCCCGCCACTTTGCTGGACTGGCCGGTTGCTGCTCAATTGTCGTAGTGTCCAGCCCTAACGTCTCAATTCCTTACCCTCTTCCCTCCACCTCCCAGTGTCCCCACTGGGTCTTTTCCCCTCGTCTGTCTCAAGAAGCGGACTAGGGACGTAATCCTGTTTTCCCCTCGATTCTTACTTCAATACCGCCACCATTTCTCCAATCACTTCTTCCCTTCTCCAGGCTTTGCCTACCTGGTCTCTCTTCTCCTACTTTCGGAAACCCGACGGGCAATTTACCACCAATCCTCTACCTCTGCCTCCGCCTCATCGTTCCCCTCATTCTCATTCTCCTGCCGTCAAGGCTACCGCCACTATCACCACCACTCCTATTACTACTAGAGATAGTACTCCTAAACCACAACCGTCAGCACCACCACCACAACCAGCCGCGAACAAAGTCCGCAAATCCAAAATGAGGAATCCTTTCGATATGTCCGACCTCGACACACTCGTTGAGGAACAGCAAGACCAACAGCCGAATTATGCCGACCTCCACACTCACCAGTCGCATGATGGTAACCGTTCTTTGCTACAGAACGAGCGCCGTGGCGATAACCTCAAGGATCGCTTTATCGGTGCTATTGACCAGGGTACCACGAGTTCTCGCTTTATCATCTTCGACTGCACGGGTGTTCCCGTGGCCAAGTACCAGATGGAATTCCGTCAGATCCACGAACGCTCAGGGTGAGTAGCGCTGCACAACTCTCGTCATGACTGTCGTCATTCACTGAGCTAACAAAATTCTTCTCCTCGCTACAGATGGCACGAACAAGATCCTTTCGAACTGGTCGATTCAGTTTACACTTGCATTGAAGAAGCGATGAAGACCTTTCTGGCTCTGGGCCACTCCCGAGACGACATCGAGGCCATCGGCATTACCAGTCAACGTGAGACCACACTCTGTTGGGACTGGGAGACTGGTGAGCCGCTGCACAACGCGATCGCCTGGCCGGATACCCGCACCACTGGTTTGGTGCGCGAACTCAAGAGTAAGAAGGGTGCAGAAGAGTTGTCGAAGATCTGCGGTCTCCCCCTGTCCACGTACCCCTCTTCGGTGACCTTGGTGTGGATGCTCCGCAACCTGCCCGAGGTGAAGAAGGCCTACGACGAGGGTCGTCTCGCATTCGGTACGGTTGACACATGGCTTCTATACAATTTGAATGGGGGACCGGAAGGCGGCCGCCTGGTGACGGATGTCTCCAATGCCTCGCGAACCATGTTCATGAATCTCGAGACTCTCGACTACGACGATCGCTTGCTGGAGTTCTTCGAATTGGACCGGAGCAAGATTCGGCTCCCCAAGATCATCCCCTCGTCCGATCCGGAAGGGTTCGGCTGGGTCCGATCGGGGCCGCTGGATGGTGTTCCCATTACTAGCTGTCTGGGTGACCAATCCTCCGCCTTGGTCGGTCACTGCGCGTTCACCCCGGGTTCGGCTAAGAACACCTATGGCACCGGTTGCTTCCTTCTCTACAACGTTGGAGAGAAGCCTGTTATTTCGAAACACGGTCTGCTGGCCACCGTGGGTTTCCAGCTCGGAAAAGATCGCAAACCAGTATACGCCTTGGAAGGTAGTGTGGCTGTTGCTGGTAGTGGTATTTCCTTTTTGATGAACAACATGGGTTTCTTCCGTGATTCGCGCAAAGTGAGTGAGGTCGCGGCGAGCGTGCCCGACAGCGGTGGCTGCGTCTTCGTTACTGCCTTTAGTGGTCTGTTTGCTCCCTACTGGATTGATGACGCCAAGGGTACCATCTGTAAGTTTGACCTTTATTTCCCGCCTCTCCTCTCGCCCAATCCGGCTATGATGTCACATTACTGACTGGTCCCTAGTTGGTATCACCCAGCACACTCAACGTGGACACATTGCTCGCGCAACGATGGAGGCTGCCTGTTTCCAAACTAAGGCTATCCTGGACGCCATGGAGCTCGATAGTGGGCACAAGCTGACTGAGTTGGCCGTCGACGGTGGTATGAGCAACTCCGACATTTGCATGCAGGTACGTCACATCCGTTGCATCATGGACTCTTCTCGCGCGAACAGATCGACTAACACGCCTTGTCAATCTAGACCCAAGCCGATATCATCCAAATCCCGATTGAGCGACCGGCTATGCACGAGACCACGGCGCTGGGCGCCGCCATCGCCGCCGGCTTCGCCATCAATGTCTGGAAGGACTTCAGCGAACTCAAGGATATGGACCGTGCCAACCGCACCACCTTCGTGCCCCACGTCAGTCCCGCCCACAGCCGGAAGATGTACCGACAATGGACCAAGGCCGTCGAGATGTCCCGCGGCTGGCTCGACACCAACGAAGAGAACGGCGAAGATGATGAAGAGGAACAACTGGAGGCCGAAAAGCAACAGACGCAACAGCAGAAGTCCCAACAACAATTTCTCCAACAAAACAAAATGGCCTTCCCTCACTAAATTTATCATATAACACTTTTGTTTTGCTCCACGAACCTTTTCCCCGACGAAAGACCAAAGCCGTCCCATCATGATATGTGATTATTCGTTATCGGGGTGTTATGTCTCTCTCTGTGCGTTTCAGCGGTTTTTTTGTGTGTTCTTGCGCTCTGTATTTCTGCTTTCATGTCCGGGGTTCACAGGATATACTCGGTTCTGGGTTTGTTTTTGTGGTTTCATAAAGAAGGGAAAAGAGGGGTGTGGGTGGGAAGGGCAAACACACACACCTTCCCAAGATATTCGTTTGGTTCTTTTTTCTTTTGGAGGGGTTTCTTGTACTTTGCGTTGGGGATACCCGATCTTCCATACCGACGACGTCCAAATCTCCTTGACCGGCTAAACACTCTCAACACACACATCGACCGTGGGGCTGGTATATACAACTTTTCTGCTGTTTTGGCTGGACCGTGATGATGACCGACCATTTTCTTGCCTCCCATTTTGATCTATACATACTCCATGTCATTGATAGCTCTTTATTTCAGCTTACCTTAGATAGATCTTAATAGGTATGATGTCTTGATGACTCATGATGCGGAGTCCAGGGTCTTCGTTGCTTTAAGACGTAGTCTGTACGGAGTATAGAAAGTCAGAAACCGCACGTGCTCGGGTACTTAGCTGATGCGAGACCCTGCCTTAGTACGGCACTAGAGTATGATCATGACGAGGTAAGAAGTGACTTGATTGAATTCAGTCTATTACATTCGCCCTGCTAAGCGACTACCGATTTTCGCTCAAATTAGTAGCAAGAACGGGGGCTATCGCACCCATATAGTACCTGATTATAACCTTGCAAGCTCGAAAACAATGCTTTTCATAACAGTCAAATCACCCTGACAAAAGGTTCCTTCACCGACCCCGGATCTCAATCCAAAACGCCCCATAACACCACCACTACCGCCACGAGAGAGAAAATGAAACGAACACCTGCTTTGTCCCCAACCCAGTTGACCAACCAATCAACCAACCGATCGACCACTATACCCATTTCAAGATCACAGAAAGCTTCTTTGGGAGGGGGGTCCCCCGCCCCATCACTCAGTACCACGAATTGCCCTCCTCGCCCAACTTCTTCCCGGATGGATTCATCGATATGATACGCTGACCCGGCAGTGTATCATCAGAGATCATACTCTCAAAAGTACCGGAAATTGACCGCTTGCCGATCGCCTTGAAGGAGTCGTAAATCCTGGGCGGGATGGTGGTGGTGGTGGTGGTGGTGGCTCCCTCACCGTTTGATTCAATCACGCCTTCCGGGTCTTGGTAGACTTTGGGCATACCCCCCTGGGTCTTCTGCGTGGGGGCAGAGCCATCGGTGCCACAGCAAGCGGCCCATTCCCGCGACAGGGACGGCGCGGTGCCATCGCCCAGGTCACACCACCGCGTGACGACAATGGCGTGCCGGAAGCGCAGGTTCGGGGCACCGCCTGCGCTGTCGGGGGAGCGGTCCTCGGTCAGCTTGACCTCGATGAGGTACTCGGAGGGACACTCGGGGCAGCGGCGCATGGGACGGCACTTGCCGCAGAGCGTGGTTAGGGCGTTGGGGTTGTAGGCGCGGCGGTGCATGATGTCCTTGGCGCGGTGCTCGAGGCCCTGGAGGGCGGAGGTGTCGCGCGGGACGGGGATGTGGGAGAGGGCGCACTTGCAGGCGGCCATGAGGTTACCGTCGCGCCAGTGGGCGCAGACGGAGAAGTAGGGGACGTAGTCCTCGCGCGAGTAGAGGAGGAGACGCACCGTAGACGGCGGGAGGCCCGGGTCGGCGAACCGGGTGGACGTCACGCGCATCAGGAGGTGGTTGTTGTGGATCTGGAAGCGTGTTTGGTGCGACCACTCGGTGCGGCGCCAGCGACGCGAGAGCGTTGTGAACGGGATCCCGTGGTCCGGCGTGAAGCGGTGCGCCCGCAGCGCCAGCTGCACGAAGGTGTAGGGCAGCGTGCGGTTGTGGGTGATCCGGTGTCGTGGGGGAGGGTTGAGTGGGTTGCGGGCTTCCGGGCAGCGGAAGAGCGGGTTGAGTGTGTCGGCCGGTTGGAGCTTCTCATGGCCCGGCTGCGTGCGGAGGTGGAAGCGGCCGCAGGGGATACAGAGGAGATGGTGTGGGAGGTAGCGGTCTTGTGTCGTGAGGAAGTTGACGCGCTGCGTATGGTACTCGGGGAGGGAGAGGACGTAGAACGGGTCGAGTGCTTGGAGGCGGAGGTATAGGGTTTTGCTGGAGAAGGCGAGGCTGGCCGTATCGGCTGGCGTGAGGTAGTCTGTCGCAAGGTGCATCCAGAGCTGCGAGGGCCAACTGGCGATCTGAGGCTCACCGGGGGGCCGGTTGTCGTATTCACTGTCGAGGCCATAGGGGTCGTACCGGTTGAAGTCCTGGTCGCCGATGGTATGGAGGATGGCGGTATGGTCGCGGCTTTCACCCAGCTGGGAGTCTTTGTTGGCGTTTATTTCGCGGTATTTCAATCGATGGGCTTCTAGCAGGGTGAGGGAGGGCAGTGGCGGCACATCTTCACTGGTGGTGCTGGGTCGGTGCAGGCCTGCTGCTCCTCGCAGATCCGGCGTGGATGCGCTATAGCCTTTGCGGAGGACCTGGCGGGATTTCTTGGGCCGGAGGGCGTGGGCGAAAAAGGCTCGCAGGCCACTTTTCTTCTCCCCTGGACTTTCTGCTGACATGGTCACTGCAATTTTACCTATGGAGAGGAACGAAAAGGAGACGAGAAAAGGAGGGAAAAGCAGGTATTGGTAAACCAAATTGAGATGAAACCAAAGGCGGGACTGGATGCGATAAGATTAGAAACTCGACGGATCGGGCCCGGAAGCTGCGGCGCTGCCTTCCGCCCGCTGCCGGGCCTGGACCTCTTCGGCCACACATTACATAATTACGTAGCAGTGCGGAGTACGTACTCCGTTTACGATTAATTCATAGTAGAATAACTTCGTGCATTAGGACCGTAGATGAACAGCCTGATAAGTTCCGAAAATCCATATTACGTTAAACAAAACACTTCGTGAGAACGCTCATCAAGCCGCGCTAGAGTACAATCACTTCCTGCATTACACTTACGCCGAGAAGCGCTTCTCAACGGCCTTCCAGTTGATGACGTCCCAGATGGCCCCAAAGTACTCGGCCTTGCGGTTCTGATACTGAAGGCTGTGAACGAGTTAGTAAGTTGTTTGGCTCCGTCATCCCAAGGGGGCTTACTAGTAGGCGTGCTCCCAGGCATCAATACCCAAGAGGGGCTGGAACTGACCAACGACGGGGTCCTGGTTCTGTAGTCAAGTCAGTCTCTGCGCACCACTCAAAACAAGATTTGTACTCACGGCATAAGTCTTGATGCCTATGCTGCCGGTCTGCTTGTCCTTGACGAGCCAGGCCCAGCCGCTACCCTGAATACCAGCAAGAGCAGCGTTCATCTTGGTCTTGAACTCGTCCAAGCTGCCGAAACTGTCGTTGATGGCGGTGGAGAGAGCACCAGATGGGGGCTCACCACCACCGGCACTCTTGGGAGCCAGGTTCTCCCAGAAGAGGGTGTGGTTGATGTGACCACCGCCATGGAAGTTGATCAGGGGCTTGAGGGCAATCTGGGCAGCAATGTCGCCCTTGTGCTGAGCCTCCTGCAGCTGCTCGATGGCAGTGTTGTAGCTGTTGACATAGGTCTGGTGGTGGTTCTTGTGGTGGAGCTCCATGATCTTGCCGGAAATGGAGGGCTCCAGGGCACTGTAGTCGTCTGCCGAAGGTTAGTGAGTGTTATTGCACGCTGAGCATTTCATTTTCAGCTTGAGCCTTGCGCTAAGGCCGGGTCTGAGGGCCAAGGAGTCCTTACAAGCCAAGTCAGGCAGAGTAGCCTTGCCGCGGGCAAAGGTCAAGCTGCCAGCAGCTCTGGTAGCCGAAGCTCCGTTGCGGAGGGCAGAGCGGGCAGTATTGCGGACGAGAGAAGCAGCCATGATTGATTATGAGTTCGGCAAGTGAGTGGTGAGGATAAGGATACAGTCACTGAGAATGAGTAGAGAAAAATCCCGAAGAACAGACGAAGGAAAGAAAGAAGAAAGAAAAAGAAGTCCGCAGTAGGAGGAGGACGGAAGAAGTTAACGTCATTGTTGCTTTCGGAGAAGGCATTTCCCCGCCCCGACCTGGCCCGATTGGGATCCACCGACTCTTGGTCCCCAGCATTCTTCCCGATAGCTGATGGAAGGTCAACCCCGAGGCCATTCATCGCGTCTATACTTTCTCATTCCCCTCGGTGATGACTGCGGTCTTGATCCGTCAGGCTTCAAGCTCAGACTAGATCCAGTCGACTTTCTGGAACCCAGACCCTACCCGGCGTCCGGCCATGTCTTCCTCCGAATCTTCACCCGTTGCCGGCCAGAAACGCAAAGTTGCCGACATGAGCTCCGACGAAGAAGAGAACTACCGCCCAACCATGGGCTTTCGTGGCTTCAACCGAGCTGCCTCTCGCTCCGAATCCCCTCCTGCGCACGGCGGTCTCGGTAGCGCTCGTCGCAACCCATGGAACAATATGGCGCAGGCATCGACGAAAAGTGGAGGAAACAATGGAGGCAAAGGCATGGGCGGGGGGAATTCCTTCGCCGCGCGCATGATGGCCAAGATGGGCTACAAGGAGGGGCAAGGTCTTGGTTCGTCTGGACAGGGTATCATCAACCCGATTGAGGCCCAGGCTCGTCCCACGGGCGCGGGTCTGGGTGCGGTCCGCGAGAAGACCAAACAAGCTCGAGAGGAGGAGAAGCGGGCTGCAACGCTACGCGGTGAGACCGTCGAGGAGAGCTCAGATGAAGAGCGCAAGAGGCGACAGAAGAAGAAGAAAGAGGAGCGCAAACGCGATGGCAGGAGTGGAACGAGTACGCCGGTCGCTCGAGCGAAGCCCAAATTCCGAACTGCCCGCGAAATCGAGCAGGATATGGAGGGTCTGGAGGTTCCCAACGTGCTGAAGTCTTTGATTGATGCGACTGGGAAAGAGCAGCGGGTGATCACTTCAACCGCCGGGTTGATGACACCGCAAGCGTTCGTCAACCAGGGTGAAGGCGAGGCCTGGAAGATTGCACAAAGGGCGCGCAACGACCTCGAGGCATTCGCAGACGAGTGGAAGGGACTGACGGAGAGGAAGAAATACATTGAGATGGAAGAAAGCCAGATTGTCGAGCAAATGGACACGAATCAGCTCAAGGCCGATCAACTTACCGAGCTGGTTGCGGCAATTGGAGCACTGGATGTATCCGAGAAGGAAGAGACAAGGGCCAAGTTCGACGAGTTAACCGACAAGCTCGAGTCAATAGAGATGAAATTTCGCAACGAGATAGACGAATACCGACTACCAGAGACCGCCGTGGCCGCGATTCACCCTCTCTTCCGCCAGGCTATGGAGGAATGGGAACCCCTCAAGGAGCCGACGTTCCTTGTCGCCAACCTCCGCCGTCTCCAGCCATTACTACTCCGCGATATCCGGGGCACTCACACCCAGCGCTCATCCACCTCCCCTTACGAAACCATGATCTACACCCTCTGGCTGCCACGCGTACGCTCCGCCCTCCTCAATGACTGGGACGTCTACGAGCCCGCGTCCGCAACATCGCTCGTCGTCGCCTGGAAAGAACTCCTCCCACCTTTCATCTACTCCAACGTGCTCGACCAACTCGTAGTCCCGAAGCTCACCAACGGCCTAAAGGACTGGAAACCTCGAAGCAGCAGCAGCAGTAGCCGGCGACACCACCCTTCCTCCTCCTCCCGCTTCCCGTGGTGGCTCTTCACCTGGCTCCAATACCTCGACGACCGACACACGAACCCCAAACAAGCCACAGGGCTCCTCTCCGATGCGAAACGCAAATTCCGGGTCGTGCTAGACACATGGGACCTCGGAAAGGGCCTTATCAGCGGCATCGAGCTCTGGCGCGACGCCTTGGGCTCCGAATTCGACTCTTGCCTGCGCAACCACTTGCTGCCACGCCTGGGTCGCCACCTCCGCGAGGACTTCCAGGTCAACCCGCAAGACCAGGACCTGACCGCCCTGGAGAACGTTCTGCGATGGCAGCCCTTCTTCCAACCCAAGGTCATGGCCCTCCTCCTGACGGCTGAGTTCTTCCCCAAGTTCCACCAGATCCTCTACATCTGGCTCACCAACGACCCCAACTACGAGGAAGTCGCCGAGTGGTTCACCTGGTGGCGCACGCAGATCCCCGCCGCGCTGAACGAGCTCACTATCGTCGACGACGAGTGGAACAAAGCCCTGCAGACCATGGACCTCGCCTCGCAGCTCGGCGACCGCGCCGCTGCAGAACTCCCTGCCCCCACAGCCGCCACCACCACCAGCCACGCACAACAACAACAACCACCCAAAGAAACGACCACCAGACCCACCACCACCACCCCCGCCCCCGGCCCCCCCTCGCGCCTCAAACCCAAAATTATCGAAGAAGTCGCCTTCAAGGATATCCTGGAAGCATGGTGCATGGAGCAAGGGCTTATCATGCTCCCGCTCCGCGAGGCGCACCCGCAGAACGGCCAGCCGCTCTTCCGGATCACGGCCAGCGCGACGGGCAAGGGCGGCGTGGTGGCGTTCGTGCAGGGCGATGTCGTCTGGGTGCAAAACAAGAAGGCGAAGGAGGTGTGGGAGCCGATGGGGTTGGAGGATCGTTTGGTGGAGCGGGCGGAAGGGAAGTGATAATTTTTTTTCTTGCCTTTCTGCCTCCCTGCTTAGCGGCGCGCGCGCGCGCGCGTGTGTGTGTGTGTGTGTCTTTTTCTTCATCTCAACCCCATACTATAGTGAACTTCTTTGAGTTTCTGATTGCGCGTTTCCTGCGCGTTTATAGATAGCGATACTAGATTTGTGCTTGGGGGTTTGTCGGGTTGGTATGGAAGGAGACGATTCGGGAGACGGTTTTCGGTGATCGAATGTGTGTTCTTCTTTATGATACCTACCATGTTTAAACCATTGCAACTACCTGGGAAAAGACCTTTCTCTTCTGTCTTCTGGACGTCAAGCAAATGGTTAATGGAACAGCAAGGGTTGTAGGGTAGGGTAAGCTCGCCATATCCCCCTCGGTATTCTGTGAAGCATGTTCCTGAATTGTAAGTACGGTGCACAAAAGTGTTCCAAGCCGACCTCTAGCACCGAGGCTTTCATTCGTTTGATTGAACTACAGTACATTATACGATCTTCTGATCATCATATCAAAACTCGTCATCAAATGAGAAATGGAGACATAAAAAGAGAATGAGAGGGTACGAGAGAGCGAGTAGCTAACGACAATGACAGTCGGAGATCATGGGACAAACGCAGGAGCATAAACATCAATGTGAAAAGAGCGAGGAAAGAGGAATAGTGAAAAAGGCGTCTTACGGGAAAGCCGAACCGGCTTCAATGAACAATCGTAAAATCATGTGCCAGCCAGATACTGTGATCGTCACAGAAGAGCCGAAGGCATGCATACATTAACACATCGGTAAGTCGGATATCATCATGAGAAAGGAACACATGGGAGGAGAAAAGGGGTACTCAAAAGCCCATTGTATCGTCCGCAACACCGTGAACACAACCCTAAACATCACATGCAACTCATCAGGGTATCATGACATACAATCATCAGGTTGGGGCAGACTGAAACGACAAATGAAAAGAATATTCAATAACAAAACGGTAAGGTAGAAGCACAAGTGAAGGTGCAACTGCACAGACAGTACAAGTGCCCTTCTCAGCCTCGACGAGATTTGCGGTCCATATAGCGCGGCCGTCGCGCAGGATCTTCCTCGTCAGAGCGAACGGAGCCTCTAGATCTCGCATCCAGAGCAAAGCTCACTGTGGGCGTGTCGAGATTTCTAGCGGGCTCGTGGTGAGCTTGGGTTCCAAACTCCTGGGCCATGCGAGTGGGTCTGTCTTTCAAGATCCCACTGGGAGGCATGGCATGCTTGACCGGTGAATGGAGCGGCTCGGGCTTCTTGCTAGACCCTTTCATCCAGCCGAACAGTCCGAGGGAACTCCGTCTCTTGTGGTCCTTGTTGCTGGCGGCCAGCGGCTTGAGTGCTTGGTTGCTTGTGAATGATGACTCGGTGAAAGAATGGGGGAGAGTGCGGCGAGCCTCGTCCGCCATCCCATCTGCGTAGGTTGGCATGGATGCGGACAAATCACGATGACCTTCTGAGTGTTGCTTTACTCGCGGCGGCCTGCTTGGGGCGGTGTTGCGTGTTTTGTGGATGACGGGCGCAGGTGCTCCCTCGTCACTATCTGTTTGGTCGTGTAAAGGAGTGGTCTGGAGGCGACGAGCGTTTCCTGAGCGACCAAACAGTGGCCGTAGGCTGATGCGCTTACGACGCTCTGTATCTGGTTCGGGATGCGGTCTTGGGTCTAATGACTGCAAATCAAGCGTAGGGATTCTAGGCACGTCCGCTTCTCTGAAGCCCGAGTCGATACTGTGCCTGCGGCCGAGAAAAGACGCCTGGCTAGGTGCGCGCGCAACGAGTAGACGAGAGTCCAGCGTGATAGGTCCCAGATTCAACTCAGGCTGTGACTTCTCACCCCGGGGGGCAAGTTTGGCTGCATCAACCCATTCTTGAGAAGTCAATGGCGGCGACGCTGATAAGGGGGCCGAAAGTTCTTCAATCGATCTGGACGGCTTCGCCTGGTAAAGATTCTTGTCGATCTTGGAAAGGACCTTTTCCAGGCTATCTTCATTATACAACGCACTGCCACCATAATGGCCAAGACTGATCTTGTTGAGAGAGTCCTGATTGAACAGCCGATCATCTCGGGAAGTGATGTAGTTTAGGGGAAATAAGGTCGGGGTCATGTCTCCCCCGTCCGTGCTCTGTCGTGGCAGCGTGACATCGCTCACATTCGCCAAAGCCTTGTCACTTTCGATGCTCTGGCATGAACTTCTCTTGGTAGTTAATTCATCCGCAGAACGTGGGCGCCGAAGCATGAGGCCTAATGCGACACCTTGGTCGTAATGACTTTTCTCTGCAATGATACTGCCATTAGAGCAACTCGTGCCTGCGACATATGCAGTACTCATTGTATCCGGTGTAGGCGGCAATTTTGACGTTCCGAAGACGCTGTCGGTGTGTGTCTTTTGACTAGAACCGTAAGAGTCGCTGTCGAAACTCGTCTTTTTGGGTCCCTGTGAAATGGACGACTGCGTGGTACACCGCGACGCTTCATCCACAAAGACGTCATGTGGTGGTGAAACCCATGATTCGATACGGTCTCTACTCCGGGAACCACTGAGGTCAGATAATTCTGAGCCATCTGCTGCAAAATCCTTCCTGATGACGGGGATCGCCAGCTGGTCGAATCCAACAACATCACCATCTGATCCAAGGGGAAAGAGTTCGCTGCATTCACTGAGAGCACTAAGTCTAGGCGATTCCGGGTCAAGGGGGTCATTGATTGACTGCAAACTTTCCGATTTTGTGATTTCAGTCATCGCAGCATGAGCCTGGTCTTCGGACGGCTCACAGAAGCTCTGAAGTGCAGCTGGATCTTCTCTTCCGTCGCGCAAGAATGACGGTGCTCTTTGAAGTTGATGAGAAACGGATGTTTTTCGGTGAGTTGCGGATGGGTCGGTGCTGCCTTTCGACGATGTTCTGTCCGGGATCTGAACGACAACTTTCTGCTTAGGAGTCGTGGAATCCTCCTCATCTGGTCGAGCCGTCGAAGGTCTCGATGAATCCTCGCCAGCTTGCAGTTCTGTCACCTTGCTTTCCAAAAGACAGATCATGCTCACGGCCTCTGTTATCGCGTGATCCCTTCGGTCGATCTCTTGCCTCAATTCCTCATTCGATTCCCGCAGCCGCTGGTTATCAGCTTCCGCCTCGCGAAGTTCCTGCACTTCCTCTTCCAAGCAGCGCAGACGCTGAAGTTCTTCCTCCATCTCTTCCATTCTTTGTAGCTTCTTCTCCAGTGCCGTCACCTGCTGTACACGATGGAAGATCTCAAGTTTCAGGTCAAAGTTCTGCTTGTTGATTTTCGAGACATACTGAATCCAGTCAGTAAAGGACAAGTCTTCAACGCAACTGGGGGCTGAAACCTACCTCTCCCATCTCTCTTACCCCCATGTCATTTGGTTGTCGTGTACCTGACGAGGCCACACTATGAACCCTGCGCTGTTTGTCAGAGCCAACCTCTTCCCAGGATTGACCTCGAGACTGTGTCTGTGACTGTGCGTGTGATCGCGCAGGCGACTGGGATGGGGACAGGACTTTCGGACGACGCCGCTCGGGTGTCCGAGGATTGCATTGCTTGTGTTCGTCCGATCCACCTTTAGAACTTCGACTTGCGCGCTGCTCTTTCAACAAATCTTGTAGTAAACCTGAGGAAGGGTTGACAAGTGGCGCGCTGGGTTCGTTTTCGGGCGTATCTGAAAAATCCACAGACCGTCAGCCACTGCGGTCCTTGAGTGCTAAAAAAACAATATAGGTGGCTCACCGGCTCTCGATCGCTGAGGCGTCTGAGGTGTTGCAGTTCTCGGTGTCATTGATAATGGTGATGCGTCATTCAACCATGACATTTCTGGGAGTGGTCAATTTTTGGAAGTCGGTGTGGGGTCTGGCTGGGGTATATAAGATCGTACCTGAACTCATCTGCGACGAAGAGTCCATGGTGACAGACCCCTTGACTCGAACTAAGGCAGGAGGCTTCGGAGGGATTGATGTGACTGCACAGTGAGGTGAAACGTCAATTTTCACACTTCCTTGGAGTCTCTCCGACCCCTTGTATGAATCAAGGGATAACCGGATGGCAGGAACTCACTCTTGCGTTGCGCACTTTGACTCCGCGACAAGGACAAGGGATTTTTCGTAGGAGAAGTAGCTGGAGATGGATAGGAGCAGTGTCGCAGAGAAGACGGTGTCGACGATTGCACCGAGATGGTACTCCGTCTCTGGAGTGTTGTGTCCATTTTGATGGATTGTGGGCACCGGAGCAAAAAAAAAAGGAGAGATCCCACTACTTGCTGCGCATCACTGACAAGACGCAGGACACCAGTCTCACTGCAGTCGAACGCAGGGTTGTATCCACCAAAGATGCGGATCGAATTGAAAGAGGGGCTGTAATTCGACCGATAGCGTAAGGAGAAAAGCAATGTCGCGTCCTGAGGATGGAGAATCGGGCTGGCGAGTGAGGTGACGACAGGACAGGCCCACCGCCTCAGACAATCTGGCGGGGGGCAGCGAGGAGAGGCGATTGACGCAGCCAGAGAAGGATAAAAGGATGACAATCGCGACCGTCTAAGGGGCACCGTGAAGTGGAAGTGAGGGGAGAGAGGAGAAAAGGCGCCAGGAAGGATTGTGACGAGTCAAGCGTGGATCTTCAGATCACACAGAGCCAAGACAGGAGAGAAAGAGTGACAGGAAGTGATCCCCGCACTGCACGATGATCGGAGAGTGGGCGCTAGTTTGGTACGAAGTGATCGATGTAGTTATAGTTCTTTATTGTTACAACTGAAGATTTGTTGTAGCCTCAATGGTATGTATGTATCGATAGAGAATGGAATGGTGTTGCGGTTGCCATGCGACGATACCAGATCGAACCACGTTTGAATTGTGAATGCTAAAGGTGAGATGCTGAAGGAATGTAATCGAGTCTCAGCTGGAGGGGAACCAACTAGAACTATTTGAGTCGACTATTAGTCTAATGGATTAGTCCAGTGGCATTACTCCGTAGATGAAGAGAGGAGAGGAGAATTAGAACTATTAGTCTAAAAAATTAGTAGGAAGTGGATCAAGGCGTCGAGTGGATTTACTGGAGAAGGAGACTAGTTTAGACCCGCGGTTCCTTCCAGACCAGTTGGTGGTCATGGCGCTCTTCCGTGTTCGTTCCCTCCTCGCCTTTCTGTCTCTCTAAAATCTCACCTTCTTTCGGCCCTTCAATTTCCATCTCATCCGGTTTATCTCGGGAGTTGTGATGCATCGTCCCCGGTTCGCTTCCTTTGATGCCGTGGTCGATGAGTATTCATTGCTGGTGATTGGCTTGAGTCCATCGTTGAAGCCATGGTTGCTCTAAACGTGGTATCTCACTCGCTAAAGTTAGGATCAGAGCCTGGTGCACACACGCTCTTTGCATTCCCTGTTCAGCGGTTCGATCAATCCCCCTTAGCAGATCAATCTGGGCTGTTTGCCTCCGGCGCGTTGGGATTGACGAGGATCAGCATGCTGTCTCCCTCATAGATCTTGGGCCTCTGACTTCTTTGGGTTTTTAAAAAAGAAGCCGTTGGGTCCGCCCTTCCAACGAGATGAGATCACTGCTACGATGAACGATCTGTCACCTCGGTTATCTCTCCACAACTTTCCGATCATCGCAGAGTCGTAGTAGCTCATAAATGTCTACAGATGGCTAGCCACCTTCCGATTCTCGAATTAAACGGCGCTTCTTTCGTAGAACATATTACATTGTTTCATTAAACGGAAATCACTCGCTTCTATGATGATGGCGAGCACAGCTCAGCCCTTTTCGGTGCATCTTCAGCTCATTTCTTCTTCGACTCACCCGCCCAAACCCGGGTCTCTTTGGCGCTGTCATGCGTAGCTCGAAACACTGTGAGAAGTCAATGGTCAGCAATAGGGAACAGAGCAGATCAACGGCCTCAAATCTCACATTGTCGTTCCGTCTCATCCAGACCACGCAGGAAATCCGCCCCTTGGCCCAGCGCGCCCTGCGGATTGTGCGCATGGTCGGCGATCTGCGCTGCACGCTTCTTGAATGTCTGTCGGTTGACAAGCGACGCCGTTCAGTATTGTCTCTTTGAAATGTCACTTCACCTGACGCGGAGGGGTAGATACATTACTGAGCACATCCACCATCTCCTCTTCCTCAAACAACTCCAGCACCCGTTCGCTCAAGCTGTAGAAATGAGGCGCCAGCGAGCGCAAATCAACCGTCCGCGGATCGGCCTTCAACGCATTGAGCACTCGATCTGACAACGCATAGGGAAGATCCAGCGTCACCAGTCGCGAGGTACCAAGCCGTGCCCTTGGTATCCATTAGACACAGGCGTCGATGGTACTGGTTGAGCATAAAATAGTACTGACCCGATAGACAGCATCTCCCCCAGCCAGAGAGGCAAATCAATGCGTGTCCCAGCTTTGATCTACTGCAGAGTCAGTCAAGTGAAAAGTCTAGACTCAAGGAGGAACGCAGCCATACATTCTCTCCCGGATTGCCTTCTAGAATGCCAAGCCCCGGCACGTCGAGCTCAAATGTGCATGGCAGTTTCTACATCCAGATCGCCTTCGTTAGTCTTCCAAGTACAGGCAAAGCTCTCGCCTGACCAACCTGCGCGTCGGTAAGAATCGCATCAATATCGTAGTAAGACATTCTCCGGAATTTTCAGAGCAAGATGACGTCTTCAATGAGATAGGCTGGCCTCCGCAGAGGATTATTGCTCTGGACTTGTCGAGTCTGCGACGCGTCCCCGCAAACCGCGCGGTCACATGATTATACACCTTATTTCAAAAGCAAGCCAATGAGATCGCAGCTATATAAGCGAGTTGGTATAGATTGAATTTCGAGCCATGCGCATTGAAAAGACTGTCCAGGTTTTTTTGAATTAGCGAAAGTGTATAATAAAGCTCAACTTGTGAGCTGAGAAGAGATTGAGCAGGTCCTAGGCACTTACGGGGATATGTGTATCCATAACCTTGCGATGGGTACATCATCTTTCACATTGTGGCTGCTAGCTAGACTCCTTCTCATATTTTCAGTGATAATGAGTAAAACAATTGACCTCCAATTCTGCACCATTTAAGGGCTTGGTAGATCTTCTCGGTCTTTCTGAGCTAATGTTCTGTGAAGGTGGCTATGAGAATTCCCAGTCATAGTGTGTATCGAGTGCCCTGACAAATTGTATATAATGGCAAAGCTGGGCGGATATTATTCCTCAATCCGAACACATCCAACAACCCACCACCACGCAATAGAGTTCGAACAACATGTCACCTTCAATCAGATGCATATGAGGGGTCAAAGCAAATTCAATTGACTGTCAAAGTACAGACACTCAATCCTGATCAGGTCTAAGCAGCGATGGCTTCGATGACCCAATGACTAAGCAAAGTCACATGTCTCTCACCATCAATCATCACGTGCAAATATCAGCGATCAATCCATGGCGGAACCGGCCGTCGGTCTTTCACAATCTTCTCCAACTTTTCTGCTTCTATTCCCGGTCTCCGCGAAAGACAAACTTGTCTTGATCTCGAAGGCTCCTGCCCTTCTGATTCTCGCGTGGGACATTCTTCTCCCGATGGGCGGAGCCCTCGACGCCGCCCAGGACAGTGGACGCTGTCGAGCTCGATGACGATGGCCCCTCCGAGCGGGTCGGCAGTGTACAAGAAGAAAGATGGCACCCTGACCATGTCGCCGGACCAGCAGTCGGTCTCCTGGATTCCAGCGGCGGGTGGTGCAACGGGGACGATTACGATCTCCGTGGCTCAGATAACGAGTGCGTTTTTCCCGGGGTCGAAAACAAGCCTACAAAATCTACTCAGAGCTCTTTCCAGCTCTTTGCAACTAACACAAGGATGGAACAAACCTAGATTTACAACAGACCCCCGCGACTAGTCCAAAAGTAATGCTGAAGATCCACGTCCTTCCTCCCAGCGCACCGGACAACACTCCCGAACAATACGTCTTCAATTTCACGGCGGGAGCGAATGCACGAGCCGAGGCGGACGCCATCAAAGATGCGCTCAGCGCGGCCATTCAGGCTGCCAAGACCGCCCAGGCCGCACCCACCCCTCCGGTCGCTGCTGTTGCGGCGGCCAGCGGTGGCGGGTCGACCGAAGGCGTGTCCGCGGCGATGGCGATGGCGAATGCGATAACGGCCGGAGGAAGAAATGTGAAGCCATGGGATGACGACAAGCGCCTCCAGAGCGACATGGAGCTGCAGCAGTCGCTACTCAAATCGAACCCGCAGCTCCAGCGCATGTTCATGGAGTCGATGGGCACGAAGCCCGAAACCCTCTCGGCTGGACAATTCATGAAGCAGTTCTGGTCCACGCGGCTGCATCTTCTGCGAGCCCATGCGATCGAGCGCGCGCAGACGCGCGGGTCCTACAATGTGCTGTCAACGCTGAAACCACGGGTGGAGGACAGCGTGACGAAGCTCAACATCAGCAAGGAGCAGATCCAGCTGATCTTCAACCAGCACCCTCTGGTGAAGCAGGTGTATGACGAGAACGTGCCCAAGTTGAGCGAGACGCAGTTCTGGTCGCGGTTTTTCCAGAGCCGGCTGTTCAAGAAACTGCGCGGAGAGCGGATCTCCGAGACGGATGCGACGGATGCGATCTTGGATAAATACTTGAAGGCAGACGAGCACGGGAACCTGCGAGAGGCGCAGGTCCCGCACTTTTTGGATCTGGCGGGCAATGAGCTTAATCACAGCCAGCGGCGCGGGAACCGCCCGGACCTCGACATGCGACCATCGTCCGTGGAGAAGGTCCCCATCATCCGGACGTTGAATAACCTCAGCGAGAAAATCATGGCCAATGTCGCACCGGCGGATGCTATACCGCAAGCGGGCGGAGATACTGAGGAGGACACATATAACGAGCTGCAGCTGCGTGATCTGCGAGGGGATGAGGAGCAACGTCGCGTTCTGCTCAATGTCAAGGACCAGAGCCGGTTTTTCTCGTCTCAGTCGAAGACGGATACAGATGAAGAGAGTCGACTGTTTGCTCAACAAGATCCGAAACAGATTCTAAATGATTTGCGTGATGATGCTGAGCAGAATCTGCCAGAGGGCGGGGTAGTGCCTCTTGGACGATTAGTCGAACCGGAGGAAGAGGAAGATGACGATGAGATGAAGCAGGCGAGCCAGGTGGGCTCCCGGGTCAACTTAAAGCGGGCATCGAGCCAGATCCTCGAGGCCATCCGGGATCGCCGCGCCCAAACGGAGGTCTCGGCAACCTCGGGTACATTCGGCCTGTCGAGCGCGCTGTACGACCGACTAACGCTCACGCACGCTACTACTACGGAGTTTTTGCACCAGTTCTGGCAGGCGTTTTTGTCTGGGAACCCGGATCGCGCGGGCGAATTGGCGTCGCTGGTGGAGTCCCTTAACCGAGCCATGGAGCGCATTAAGGCCGTGCAGCAAGACGCGGAGGCGGAGCGACAGGTGGAGGTGGACCGTTTACGGCGCCACGCACGCGAAGTGCTTGAGGCGACCGGCAAGAAACTACGGATCAATCTGGCGAATGTCGCTGGCGGCGAGCAGGCCGTGACCCGGCTATTGGGGCCGACGATCCGCGCTCTGGAAACGGCGCTGACAAAGTATAAGGAGGCATTAGCAGAGGAACTGAAGGAGGTGCCTCCAGCATAACGGGATCTGTATGATAGACTAGACATAAAAAGCTTGAATGGTGATTACATAGTATGATAATGGATAACTACTGATGGCAAGAAAGTAGCTTAGCTTATCGGCATGCCGAGCCCCTCATTAGGAGCCTCGGCCCGCGTGCGGTCTCTGGCGTGACTGCGCGACGTGGCCATCATCACTTCCGCATCTCCAACTCCGCAGTCCGCAACCTGCAACCTGCAACCCGCCACCCCTCATGCTCATACTCATACTCATACTCTAATCTGATCCAACCCCAATTTTGCCCAGCAGACATACCAAAGTCACCGCCCAACCCAATCAACCCGACCCGCGAGGGCAACCGACAACCCCCACCATGCAAACCTCCGGCCTGACCAACGCTCCGATCTCCAAATGCCTCCTCATCTACACCATCGCCGCCTCGGTGGCGCTCGCCATTTTTGATGTGAAGCATCTAGTGGACATCCACGTCACCCCGCACTTCTTCCCGTATAGCCAATTCTGGCGCATCGCCGTCTGGCAGGTCGCCGGCTTCGCCAATTCCACCGAGGCCTTGTTCGCCGCAATGCTGGCTTACCATCTTCGCGTGGTGGAGCGCGCGTGGGGGAAGCGGAAGATGGCTGTATGTGGCCCTGCACCAAAAAAAACACATATTCCTTCCTGCTCTGCACAGAGAACACACATCCTGCCTCTCTGCAAAGAGAAAACAACTCCCTCTCCCCCGGCACAGAAACCTCCAAAAAACCCACCCACCTACTCATCCACCTTCAAAGGAAGATCAAACAGACTAACATTGGCAAAATAAACAGACCTTTCTCCTAACAATCCTGCTCCCAACCACCCTCCTCCCACCACTAATTCTAACCACCCTCCTGCGACCCCTCACCCTCTCGAAACTTAATTACCTGCCGTCGGGCCCGACGGCCTTGCTGTTCGCCTTATTGGCGCAGTATCATGCTTCGATTCCGGCGACCTTGCGCTATTCTTTTGCTGTTAGCGGCACACCCAGCACAGGCAGTAGCACAAGCAACACAGCTTCCCCCAACAGCAGCAGCAGAACAAACCCCAGCAATTCCAGCAACAACAACAACAACAACACCTCAACACAACCCGCCACCGAACAACAACAACACCAACAACAACAACCCCCGAAATATCAATCCCAACCAACAATAACCCTCACCGACAAATCCACCACCTACCTCATCGCCCTCCAGCTCGCGCTCTCCCAATTCCCCGCCACGATCCTCCCCGCGGTAGTAGGGTGGGGCGTCGGCCTAGCGTGGCGGACGGAAGTGTTACCGTTGGTTGGGGTGCCGGGGGGGTATCGGTGGCGGGTGCCGGGGTGGGTTGTTGGAGATGGGAGTGTCAGGGCTGCCGGGGGAGATAGGAGTAGTGTTCGGGGTGGTAGTGGTGGTGGGAGTGGGAGTGGTGGGGAACGGTATGAGGAGTTACGGCGGAGGTTGGAGGGGGAGGTTGTTGCTGCTTCTGCCTCCTCTACTGGAACTGGGGCTGGAGAGGGCGCTGCGCAGCGGGTGAGGAGGGGTATGGGTTTGAGTGGTTAGATCAGGGATTATCGAGTATGGTCTGGAGTTTTTAGTTACGTGGATCAGCGTTGAATTGGGTTGTCTATGGACTGACTGTATGCACTGTAGAGTAACTAGTGCTGCTGCAATACACACTCGGGTTCTATTTAGGAGTGTAGGATTGTGTTGCTGCTGGCACGGCCACGGGCAACACACACAGACAGACAACAAGAAAAAAATTGTCCTCAGGGAGGATCGAACTCCCGGCCTTGGGATGTCTAGGAAGTTGAAGCTTCCAAGTCATATACAACTGATATGAGACCCACGTGATAACCACTACACCATGAAGACATTTGTCGAGATGCGGCCAGAAGTATGTCACTATGACTCAGGAGTAGCGGAGAACACTCACACAGCTCATGCCTAACATATCATTTGCCCCGATATCCCCCCCCCCAAAAATACGCATGACAAGCAACAAATCTCATTGTATTGTGGTGTATATACTGCCTCAATTCTATCGGAACCCAGCCACAACTCCAATACCCCTAACCAGCTGAATCAACGCCCACTACGACTCCGTCGCATGTTATCCTTGCACTCATTACAATACCATTTGACTATTCCTATGTTAGCAGATCCAACACAGATCCATGGGATGGAGCACACATACCATTCTTTCCAGGCGGCTTGGTCAGCCCCACGCACGACAGATGAAACCACTCCCGTGGACAAGCATCGTTATCGCACGCCACCATCTCGCCGAAGCTGATCTCGTTGCAGTAGCAGTACCGCGGCTCGCCATCTTCGTCCTCGTCGTCGCCCTCATGAAGAGACTCCTCGTCCTCCGACACCGCCCGCTGCGGCACCACCACCGGCACGCTGCCGTTCTTCTTGTGCGAGCGTTTCGTCGTGGTTGCGGGAGCGGGATCCGTGCTTCGCGTCGGACGCACCCGTTGCGTCGTCGTGGCGGTGGTGCTGGTTTCGGTGAAGGTCGATAGCACCGGGGTGGAGGTCTTGGAGGATCGACCCTTGGGCGGCGGCGGGTTCGGAGCCGGTGCAACAGTGGCAGCAGCAGCAGGTGCAGCAGCAGCCGTGGCAGCTGAGGTGCCACCAGATGCTGTTGTCGCTGTCGCCGTCGGGGTATCGCCCGGTTCAATGGAAGGCGTCGGTTTGCTGCCGTCTGTGTCTTCTCGCTTCGTGCTTATTGGGACGGGCATCTTCGCCACGTCTACAGCCTCGTCTGCCATATCCCGTGGAGTTTCGTTGGCCGAGCTGGGGGTGGCTTCGGGCTTGGCTGTACTCTCCTTGATGACAGTCTTCGTCTCGGTTGATTTGTCTACTCCCAGCATGTCAGCTGTAGCTCTGTTGCATCGCAATTTATCGTTCCAGGAAAGCTTACTGTTGCCGGCGACACGATTGGACGCGGAGGATGATGGCCGCTGACGGCCGTTGTTTGCGTGTCCGGCATTCTGCTGCGCACGGGAAGACTGGGGACGTGCCGCGCCAGGACCCGGACTGGCCGCATTGCGTGGGATCGTGGCCGCAGCAACAACAGGCGAAGGAGCGAGAACTGGCGAATCAGCCGCAGAGTTGCCCGGATTGTTTCTGTTTGATGCCACAAATCAGTCTGAATCCCTTGTAACCATAAGAACAAAGAGGTTTGGCAACTGTGTAAGGAAGCAAACATCAGACGAAAAGACAAAAAATGCGCAGCCTTACCTCTTGCGTGAAGCCGCATTGGCATTCGGGGCGCGCGATCTCTTCTTGGTAGTGGCACCAGCACCAGCACCGCCAGCACCTCCAGTAGCATCCACATCCTTAGACCCAGCCCGGCCGGAGCCACCACCGGTAGCACCGCCCGCGCCGCTGGCCGACCTCTCCATCGCAGCCCCCGTATCCACAGGCGGAGGCCTCTCAACCTTCCTCCTCTTGGCCTGACCAGAGGTACTGCCTCCATGGCCAGCACCGCCGACATGCTCTCCCGCCTGGCCACCCGCAGTGCCACCAGCACCAGCTCCTCCTCCTCGGGACTTTCCACCCTGCCCTCCCTTCCTACCCCCACCCGAGCCACCCGAGCCACCAGCAGCCCCCGCTCCAGCACCCCTAGCCGCATCGTCCAAGTCCGAATCCACATGGCCCGGACCCTGCCCAGCCCCCGCGCCACCGCGCCGCTGCCTTCTAGCTATTACTGCCTCCCGTCTAGCGTCGCCCCGCGAGGGGCCCTCCGCATCATGCCCAGTTCCATGCCCATGCCCATGACCAGTATGCCCATGTGTGTGTCCATGCGTCAACTCCGACTTCCCCGACGCCGTAGCCTCGCGCCTAGGACGCTCCGTCGTCTTGGCGCCGCCCGCCCCAACACCAACCAACCGATTCGAATATGCCCAATGTGATAAGCTCCCCAGCCGCGCCTCATCACTGACCTCGCCCGCAATGAAGGGGAAGACGGCATCGAGGCGAGTCAGCTGGCGATCGAGCTCATCGTTCGCATTCGAGATGACGTGGTTTTTCTCATCGGCCGTCATCATCAGGTCGGAGAGGGTATGGCGGACCCGCTCGAAGAGGAGCCGTCGGTTTTTGCTCGCGGAGGATTCCGATGAGGGTGGCTATATTTCGTTCCAGCTGCAGTTAGCGAATGACTCCCAAAGTGTCGAATATGATTATGCAGTGCGCTGTATCCATTGTGACGATAGCAGAAAGAAGAGAAAAAAAAATCACACATCCACTAACATCATCCGCCTAGCCAAAAAAAAAAAGAAAACCCCCATCCCACCAGCACCGACGAAAAACACACCCAAACTAATCAAAACAACACAACGACGAAAGGAAGCAAACATACCAAAGATCCCATCCCCAAGCCCTCGACTCCCCCAATGCCAATTCCAATCTCGTCCCCCAGTCTGGGGGTCTGCACCTGTTCCTCCACATTCATCTCGACCGGCCGGGACTCGGCGCTCGCCTTCAGCAGCTGCAGCAGGTTGTCCTCCAGCGCCCAGGCCTTGGCGTCCACCTCCTTCAGCAGCGAATTATGCCGCCGGAACTCGCGCGGCAGCGCCGTGATGGCGTCCGTGAAATGTGTGAGCGCCGGGTAGAAGCCATGAGGCATGGGGGTGGCGGTTGCTGAGTTGCTGTCGGCGCGATGGGCGGCGGCGCCATGGCCGAAGGCGAAAGAGGAGCGGGATTGCGTCTTGGAGGTGCGGGAGGGGTTGGTGCGCGTCTGGCGGGTTTTGGTCGTGGTGGTTGCGGTTGTTGTTGTTGTGGTGGTAGTCGTGGCGGCAGCGGAGGGATTGGGATGGGTTGTGGAGGTGGTGAGGCTGGATGAAATTGTGGTTGACATTGTGTATTATCAAGAGAACCTTGCTGGTGAGAGGGAGAGAGGGGAAAGAATTAAGGCTAAGTGAGAAGGAGGGAGAGAAGAAGAGCGGAGAATTGAGGATAAGAGAAGAGGATTGATTTGCCGGTCGAGTCTCCGTGGGACACACGGTCCACGTGCAATAGTGGAATACCGGGCTAATCAAGCAGATATGAGACAAAAGAAAGTACTGCTGTTGCGATGACCCTCGAGAAAGAGCTTCGGCGCAACGGGCACGAAGAAGGATAAGTTGTAGCGCCGAAGATAAAGTGGTGGATTGCGGTGCGGAGAAGGACTGAGCCCCATCAGGTGATTGCAGCCTGCCGCCTCAGGCACCACAACTCTTTAGTCAGAACCACTAATTTAAATAAGTTCACTAACACCCAACATGACATCATGTGGCCGGATCCAGCTTGGCTACAACTCATAGTAAGATATCCAATTTGACACTTCTTTACATGGCCCGGACACTGAAACAAAGGAAAATGAATTATATCAAATGTCTTAAATTACACGCGTGCGCTAAACATATGCAAGGTATCGGCAGGCCAAACCATCTAACATGTGAGAGATCGACACACCAGAGCCCTGAACACACGCAAGCATGACTTGTTGTATAACCATCGTACACTATGCTTTGGACAAAGGAAAAACCAGACACGAAAGACCTAAATGAGTTGACACAAACTGGCTCCCCCGCCAAACCAAGAAATGAATTCCCCAAAAAACACTCTACTCGCCCTTGAGACGATCCTGGTGAACGCTAAAAGCAGCCTCGAGGAACTCCTGCTCCTCCTTCAAGTGGACGGACTTGAGACCAGTGGCCACAGAGGCACTAGGAGCACGACCGGCGTAGAGGACGTGGCGACGGTTGTGGTGCTCGGTCTGGTTCAACAGAGTCTCAATACGGGGCTGAGTGTAGCTCCAGGCACCGGCGTTCAGGGGCTCCTCCTGGCACCAGACGATGTTGCGGGCATTGGGGTAGCTATCGAGGTTCTCCTTCAGCTGAGCCCAGGGGAAGGGGTGCAGCTGCTCGACACGGGTAATGGCAGTGTTGCGGATGTTGTTGGTCTCACGGTGCTTCTGAAGAGCGGCATACACCTGGCCAGAGCACAGGATAACACGCTCAATCTTCTCGGGCTCATCGATCTCCTTGCCGTGGCCTTCATCGGGGATGATCCACTGGAAGTGAGAGTCGCCAGTGAAGGCCTCGATGTCAGAGCGGGCAATGGGGTGACGGAGAAGGGACTTGGAGAAGAAGAGCACAAGAGCTGTAACCAAAAGTCAGCGTGAATTTAGATCATCAATGGAGGAAGACATACGCTTGCGGAATTGACGGTGGATCTGGCGACGCAGGATGTGGAACAGGTTGGCAGGGCTGGTCATGCAGGCAATCTGCATGTTGCAATCTTGGTGCTGGCGGTCAAGCTTGTCCTGGGAGGGGAAGATGCGAGGCTCTTCGTTGCAAAGCTGCAACCAACGCTCCATTCTACCGGAAGAGTGCTCGGGACCCTGGCCGTCGTAACCGTGGGGCAAAGACACGACCAGACCGGAGCGCTGAAGCCACTTGGACTCTCCGGAAGCGATGAACTGATCGATGATGACCTGAGCGTTGTTGGCAAAGTCACCGAACTGGGCCTCCCACATAACGAGGGCGTTGGGGGAGGTCAGGGAGTAACCGTATTCGAAACCGAGACTGCACATAGATTAGCATCACCCCAAGGATACCGGTACTATCACAGGAAAAGAGAAACTTACGCTCCGAACTCGCTGAGAGAAGAGTTGGAGATGACAAAGCTGCCCTGCTTCTCGGAGATATCCCGAAGAGGAGTGTAGGTAGCCTCGTTCTCCTGATCGTGGAGAACAGCGTGGCGCTGAGAGAAAGTACCACGCTCCACATCCTGACCGGAGACACGGACATGGTAGCCCTCGTTCACGAGGGAGCCAAAGGCAAGAGCCTCAGCAGTAGCCCAGTCAATGTTCTTGCCCTCGTCCACAGTCTTCTTGCGGTTGGCCAAGATACGCTTCAGGTTGCGGTGGAGAGTGAAGCCCTCGGGGGCACCGCTAATCTTGCCGGCGATGTGCTGCAGGAGAGAGGTGTCAACACCGGTGGGGAGGTGAGGCAGAACCTCGTTGGCTAGCTCCTTGGGGGTCTTGAAGCCGTTCCAAGCGGAAGTGAGCCACTCCTTGCCGGTGGGCTGGTAGTCCTTGCTGCGGTCGAAGCTGTCGTTCAGCATACCCCAGACCCACTTCTTGTGCTCGTCGATGTCCTCCTTGGTGAAGGTACCTTCGGCGATGAGCTTCTCGACGTACTTGTCGAGCTGGGCCTTCTGCTGGGCAATGCGCTTGTACATCAAGGGCTGGGTGAAGGAAGGCTGATCGGTCTCGTTGTGACCCTGCTTACGGTAGCAGACGATGTCAATGACGACATCGCTCTTGAACTCGGCACGCCAATCCGCGGCGACCTGGCAGACGTAGTTGACAGCCTCGACATCATCGGCGTTGACGTGGAAGACGGGAGCGTCGATGGACTTGGCGATGTCGGAGCAGTAAGGGGTGGAACGAGAGTAGCGGGGATCAGTGGTGAAACCAATCTGGTTGTTCACAATGATGTGGATCGTACCACCGGTGGAGTAGGCAGGGAGGGAGTGGAAGCCCATGGTCTCATAGACGACACCCTGACCAGCAAAGGCGGCATCACCGTGGAGAAGGACACCCATAGCGGAATCGAAGTTCTTCTCGTCCTTGTTGTAGTGCTGAATGGAGCGGGTCTTTCCGAGAACGACGGGGTCCTCAGCCTCCAAGTGGGAGGGGTTGGCGACCAGGGAAAGTTGCACGCGCTTACCCGAGGGGGTTGGGCGCTCAAAGTTCATACCCAGATGGTACTTGACATCACCGGAGCCCTCGTCGGACGGCTCAGCGGAACCAGCGAATTCGCTGAAGATAGACTCGTTGGGCTTACGAACGACGTTGGACAGAACATTCAGACGACCACGGTGGGGCATACCGATGACAATGTCCTTGATACCGTAATCGACACTGCGGTCGATCAGAGCCTTCATGCCGGGCACCAGGGTTTCACAACCCTCCAGACCGAAACGCTTGTCGTTGGGGAACTTGGTGGCAAGGAAGGACTCGAAGCTATGAGACCAGATCAAGCGGTCGAGAATACGGCGCTTGTCATCAACGGAGTACTTGTAGGGCTCGGGGATCTCGAAGCGGTCACGAATCCAGTCGCAAGGCTTACGGTCGGGGATGTGGATGTACTCAACACCGTAGGATCCGCAGTAGATCTTCTCGCAGGTAGCAATAATCTCGCGGAGAGTCATCTTCTTGCGGCTTTCGGTAGCGAAACGGGGTAGGATACCGGGTCCAAGCGTGAATTCCTCATCGAGATCACGCTCAGTAAAGCCGTAGTGGTCGAGCTCGAGCTCCTTGGGCTTGTTGTAGCCGAAAGCCTCGGCCTCACCGCGGATGCCCAGAGGGTCAATCTTGGCCTTGTGGTGACCACGGGCCTGGTAGGCGCGCACCAGAAGCTGGACCTTCAAGTGATTCGTGACATCGGTGCCGGCGGCAAAGCCTAGACCCTGACCGGGCATATCCTGAGGGACACCGCCGGTAGGGGTGGGAACGAGCGTGGGAGGAGGCTGGAAAGCCTGGGAGACGGGCATCTTGCCCTCCTCCATGTTCTTGAAATACGTCTGCCAGGAGATGTGGACGCTCGAGGGGTCCTTCTTCCATGCCAGATACATCTCATCGATATAGTTGGCGGTGTTGCCAGAGAGGAAGGAATCATTGGCATCGACGCCCTCGGCGGCCTGGGCGTAGTGACGTTTGCTGTTGACCACCGCCAGAGGACGGCGGGTGGTCAAGCCGAGTTTTGAGCTGCGGAAAGAAACATTTCTGGCGCTGGAAGCGAGGGAGATGGATCTTGTGCAGGCGGAGCGCATACCGCTGTTGGCTGCCTTGACGGCTGTCGAGCGAAACATGACGGGAACTTTTTTTCTTTCTCAAATGCTTGTGCAAAGAGCTTGAACTGAGAGAGAGAGAGAGAGAGAGATAAATTGTGATTGCGGAGAGGAGTGTTTTCAACCTATTGACGCATTGATTGGCATGTTAGCTGGAGCTCTCATCTCGCGGTCATTAATGCTGCGGGATTTTTTTCGGCGGACCAAAGGAACACACGCACTGCTTGGAAAGGGTCTAAGATCGAAAGCAGGTGTCGACTATTGTTGCCGTAGCACCTGGACAAGAGCGGGACTCATCAGAGAGTGAACACACTCTCAAAAAAAACAAGGAGTCAAGAGGGGTGGCCTCTGGGGGGGGGTGGGTTGTTATGGTGGAGTAGAGAGTATAACCTGGGTAAAGTAGTGAGAGGAGAGGGAACTGGGATGGAAATGGGATGGGGAGGAGGGAACTGGAACTTTGCCGAGAATAGTACGGAGGTACGGCTATGACGGCCAGCGCAGATGTGGCTGAGGATGCCTTTTGCCCAGCGGTGGCGGGCCGGAGGTCCCGGTTGCGGTTCTAAAGAAACAGTAGCACCGCCACATCCGGCTATGAGCATTTCCCGGGCCGGGTTTTTGCGGGAGGGCACGTGATTTGATGACATCAACGGAAGGCCACGCGCATTGCAAATAAGAACTTCAAGCCCATCTCAAACAACGAAGATGACCGGGGTCAGACGACTTCTTCTCCACGTGTATCACTATCATCTGAACACTTGACAAAACAACATATTATCAACATCTCATTCGCTAACAGTACAGTACAAGTCGCTGCCGTATCCACGCGGCGAGGTATTATATAAGGGCATAAACATCGTAATTTAGAGCACAAGTCACCGACATGCCACGAAAACTTTTGACCAAAGATAAGCCATATACCATCAGAGCCATATACCGTGGTCTCGCTCGTAGTTCGCTCCCTGGGTTGTTCAAAACGGTAGCATGCAATGCTATAAGGAGGAAGAGTTATCCTCATCAGCAGTAGAGGGTTCTACACGCTGTTCCGCAGATGCATGTGACCATCGCAGCTTCTCAGACCTCTCAATAGGGAAGTCGACGGCACCGGAGCTACCAAATGCATCAGGAGGAGCGGTCAGAACCGTCGGACTCCCATCGGAGATATAGCTCGCTCGGTTCGATGCTGTATGGAGGTAAGGCGGAGGGCTGCCGCTGCCGCTGCGGAGGCTTCCGTTGCTCCCACCCCAGGCGCCCCGTCGTAGTCGCATCAACGCGCTCAAGGACATTTCATCGTCCATGCTGCTCGCGAGGTCGACCAATTGAGCCAGTCCCGGGCTCGGCAGCGCCGGGTTCGCAGCCCCATGGGCTGTCAGCGAGATAACCGAGTTGCGGGTGCTCCATTCACTCCGCTCGGTGATCGGGGTGAGACTAGGTTCGCGGAACTTGCCACGACCGCTGAAGCTCCGCGAGATGCCCTCAACGCCCCGGGGACCGAAATAGCCGCCGTTAGTGAGCTCCGTGCTGCAGGTCCCCAGGGACTGTGCGTAGAACCCAAACTCTTGACCGTAGAACCCATCATCGTCGTTCTCGAGCGCTTCAGCATTGGCAGCGGCAATGATCGGGTCATCGTACAGCAAGGCGTCATTGTCATCGTAGTCAAAATCGTCCAAGACTTCGTCGAAGCCCGGCCCGTCTACTGCCTGGCTCAAATGACTATCGTCGGAGACCAGCCCGGAAGGCGTGTCCATAGTCTGCGCCGTGCTTGCTTGACCCAAAGACCGCTCGCTGATGCTTACCGACCGCCCAAACCGCTCATGCAAGGACGCGTCGTTGGCTGCTTTGGCCAACGCGTCGTGGAAGGCCCCGAGATTGTACTCGGACAGCACTCCACCATGCGACTTTGACGGTGCGAGGTCTGTCAATGCCTCAAGGGTATGGCCGTATACCCTGGAAGAGTCTGCTTGGTACTCGCTTGCTATACTGGGAGCATGCCGGAGACCGCCGTTAATCTCCGAATGCGGTTCCTCATGTTCCGCGAGACTCGGGATTTCTCTATCCTCCAAGACTGCGGGAGGATTGGAAGCAGGGCGTGGAGCAACCGGCCTTCGCTCATAGAGGTGACTGGTTTCATCGTCAAATATCGACTCATCGAATTTCTCGCCCTGCGTGGTGAGGTCACCAAATTCCCCGTCGTCGAAATATAGATCATCCTCCTCTTGAATTGGCTGCGGAGCCACCATTTTCCGCTCATACAGATGACTAGTCTCATCGTCAAAGACCGATTCGTCAAATCTCTCGACCTCCGTAGTGAGATCACCAAACTCGCCGTCGTCGAAATACAGATCGTCATCGTCCTCGATCTGCTGTTGCGCCATTGGAGGCGCACTCTGAACCAGTTGTGGAGGAACGACAGACGATTCTGTCGTCGTGGGAAGTGAGTGGATGCTGAGACTTTGCTCGGCGCCCGCAGCCTGCTCTGGATTCGAGAGCCTCGGGGTCACATCCGTCACCGGGGCAGGATTGTCTCCGACATCTTCATCCTGAGGAATACCCGGTGTCAACGGACTGGCAATGACAGGAGACAGGTCTGGACCGAGCCAAGTCTTCTTGAGGATGTTGCCAGTGCCCGAGAAGCCCTCAAAATCGTAATCTTCGTCTGCGTCGACATTGACGCCAGGTATCTTCTCCTCGAAGTCGTACATGTCATCAAGAATGTCGGCGTCGAAATCCTCGCCGTCGCTGAAGTTCGGGTCCTCCAGCTGAGCCTTTGCCCTTCTCGCCGCCTCCTTCTCTTTATGCTTTTCTTCTAAAAGCTTCTCCTGGGCCGACGATTCCACACCGTTCATGTCAAAACTGAACCGAGAGGCATTGCTTTTGAAATGCTTGGGAAGGCCCAGTGACTGATGGGGCAACATCTCGATCGTGTCCTCGTCATGTACAGCAAGGGGCTCTTGGTGTTCTGGTGACTTGACATCTTTATCTTCCTGGACCGCAGCAGCCTGCCGATCGGATGGCTCCAGAGGTCTGTTTTCTTCCTCCGATATCGATGAAGGCAGCTTCCGTGCAAATACGGGAAGTGCACTCGGATCATTGTCTGCAAGTAAAGGATCGGTCAGCAAGGAAGACTGCAAATAAGCTTTGCTCTCGACCTGCAGCACCGGCTGGTTGTCCTCAAAGTGTTCCTTGAACACGGGCGAATATTGAGTGGGCCGCTTCGCCTGCTCACTGTTTTGGGCAGCGTGTGCTGCTTGATCCAGGCACGGCGCGATCGGCTCGGTCGACAATTGATGGTAACCGTCCTGCAGCAGTACCGGTGGTGGTGTGGAGAGATTGCGACGAGGGCGCGGCGCCGAAAAGTCATGCACTATATTCCCGCGAATCCGCGGATCATAATCGTCCGGGATCGCTGGGACGATATTGCGGACGGAACTTGTTGTATCGGTGGTGCGTAGGCTGGTCCCTTGGTGCGAACGCCGCCGAGCGAGAAGAGACATGGGATTCAGAAGATGGAGCCGGGTCTTGCCCGACTTGTGAGAGCCATGCTCGGCCACCGGATTGTCCCGATCCCCCTGTCGGCGATGACTGCCGCCATCGCTCTTGTAGTCGCGCAGCGATGCGGCGCTCTTATCGGCGGGAGATTGTACATCGGGGGATGTCTTGAATCTGAACGGGTGACTCGAGGACGGCATGCTGGGGGTGGAATATCGTTTGGTGAGATGTGGTTCGGAGGATGGATGATTAGACGAAAGTAGATTTTTGCCTAAGGAAAGCCGAAACGGGGAGCTTGTTCGTGGGATCTCTGCGTCACCATGGTGTGGACGCGACTGCAGGTGATGGGACTGCGAGGTGAGGATTGGATCGCGATCGCGATCCTCAGGGTACGAGTCGCGCAAGGGTTGGCTCTCAACCGACGAAGAGGGCCCTGGGAGTTTGACTGAGGCAGATGCATGCGCATTTACCGGAATGGCCGACACGGTCTCAGCTTTCTTTGAATCCGAGGCCGGATCGACTGGGCTCGGTCCTCCAGCGGGTGGTGAGGGGTCGGCGAAAGCGGATAAAGTCGTTGTGTTATCGGCGATGATGGGAAGCTGGGGAGGTGTGTTGGCTACCAGGCCTTTCGCGGTGTGCTGCACAACCGACGGAACGGGGGGAGCACTCGATCGACGATGGTCGCGACGCCAGTAGGAGAAGACTGTGGAGGGGGCCATGATGAAGAATGCGACAGGAGCACCCACAGAGGTGCATCCGGATAAAGGTGATGTCTAGAATGCGAGGGACCGCACCGAGAACATTTTTTTTTTTGGCGACTGTTTGTGGTTCGATTGTTCCGGGTAAGGAATGTGAAGAATGTGAAAATGTAAACGACAAATAAACCTGTCGTGGACGATTTCGCAAGTAACTTAGGCAAGGTCTGAAACGAAGATTGGAGGAGCGAGGAAGACTCTATGATCACTACTAACTTATGGATGATGCAGGATAAATCGGCGTGGGGCAATTGTGGTCTCCATGTCTCACCCGCCGGGCGGGCACTTGTCCATTCGCTGAGATCCAGGGGAAGGAAAGCCGTTAAATTAGGTGTGCTGTATGGAGACCTATTCTTTATTCCTCCGTTCCTCTCATTTCCCTCCCTCTGTCTTATTTCTTGCTAGTTTAGTGTGTTCGCCAGTAGTCTTGCTGCACGTGAGACTCGTTCAGTCTCAAAATCAGGGGCACGGACGAAGTCATTAACTTGCTAACTTATTTCCTTACTACGCACCAGAGATGTCGAAAATACTGGCACTGAGTGCACTTGATAAGTTGATACAACACGTAGTCTAGAAAAAGGTGGGAACCGGTAGTGGCCAAGAGCTTCTCCAAATTGCATGCAGCACTGCAGCCCGTGGGATTTCTGTCGCTGCAGGGTGGATGGGTTGGTTACTATTTTTGGCTGGGAAGAATGTGGACGGTGGTATTCGGACGGTATCATACACAAAACAAAAAACCCGCTAATGTAGAGAGGATATCACCACAAATACTGAAGAGCCAAACAGTTCAAAGAAAAGAAGGCAAAAAAGGAAAGAAAGTCAGGCAGAGCACGGCTAATAACGCGAAAGAGATCGGCACAGTGCCGTAACATGCCTCCCGCCCCGAGATCCAGCTGAGAGAGGCTGGCAAAGGCAGATGAGCCGACAAATGGCAAAGATGCACAAGCAAACGAAACTGTCACCTATACGATGCTCTGCCTCCACCGATCTATGATCTCCCGTTGACCGGGGTGAATGATCGGCCTCATCGTCGTCTTGGTTGCATGCTTACCAGGTGCGTAAGTGAGATGGTTGGCCCCTAAGATAGCATCGCTGTAGAACGTATTCGGATGCACCACCCCTGAGACATACGGAGCAGCTCTCGCGGCTGCATATCCTGCCTGGGGGCCCGGATACGTGGGCATTTGTCGCAACGACAGCCGGGGATCATGTGAGTACTGCTGCGCTGCTCCTTGGGGTACAGCAGCATCCTTGGCGGGCGGCCGCGGCACGGCGGAGGGACGGCGCGCATGAAGAATATCAGCCATACTTCTCCGGTACCGTGGAATCTTCAAGGTCGAGTTCTTCAGAGCTTCAGCTTCAGCCTCACGCTGCAGGCGAGCTCGTCGTTGCGCTAACGTCTCATCCTCCGGCGGGATCTCGTCAGCCTTGCCCTTTTCACCGTCGGCTCCGACATTGTTGATCTCCGCGAGGATTTCACTTGCGAACTCACTGTCTGCCACAGTGGACGGAGCCTGGTCTTTGGACTTGAGTCGCTGGAGACGTTGAGCTAGGGTTTCCTCCTCATCGCCGCTGTCCTCAGCTGCAGCCACGACATCTGGCACCGTAGCCGCATACATCGTGTTGGTGCGCCTCTCCAGAGTGTGCGGTTGGGGCTCTCCCCGAAGGCGGGCTCGACGCCGACTGAGAGGTTCCGACTCCTCCATGGCTCTCTTCTCCATAAGACCCAAGGGACGCGCTTCGTCGGTCGCGGGAGCCTTTTCTGGGAATAGCATACCCAGCGGGACATCATCGTCGTCTCCCTCGTCTACTTTGTGAGCATCTGTACTTTCCCATGCTAGCGTGACTGGCCTTTGTCGCCGATGCTCGCTTTGCTTCTGAGCGACGGCGTCCATCTGGAGAAGCGTTGACTGGAGCCCAAAAGGACCCGCCACGGCTTTTTGCCGCTGTTTGAGTTCGTTCTTTCGCATCTCCAGTTCAGCCATAAGGGTATTTGGTGGTCCGGTAAACTCCACCTCCGGCTCGATGGGATTTGGCAGATCTTCTTCACCATGAACCATATCCGCGCCGCCAGGTGCGCCATACTCATCCTCACGTAGCAAGGTACCTTCGTGGATATCCGCCGCCTCAGCTTCCGTTTGCTTATAAAAGCGATCGGAGGTCACTGGTCGTTGTTCCAGCTCTGGATCGGACAAGCGGCGGTCAAACCCCAAAGTGCTGCGGGAGGCTCGCTTCTTGGAGAGATCGAGCAATCCTCCGGCGGAGGGCTTGCGCGTGAGCTTCGCATGCCCCGACGCGCCAGCGATAGGGTGGTCAGTAAATGCGCTTACAGGGGCATGCGTTGAAGCATCAAGTATACTGTCCAAGGTGGCTACAGCGGAAGCCTGGGTGAGTTCGAGATTGAGAGGTATGGAAGGCTGCTCAAAGAAAACACTGGCACGCAGCTGTGGCGGTAGAGCTGCCACCTCTTTATCTCGCCTGAGGGGGGCGTTGCCATCCGTGTCTTGTTGTGACATCCATGGCGCCGATTTGCGGTTCTCTGTAGGTATTGAGCCTAGGAGCTGTGTGCGACGCTTCTCGCGCTCTGCGCCCGGTTTACGTGACAGACGCGGAGGCAGATTCAGCATCATCGGCACTGGTGCAGGATAGTAGACCATATCTTCACCGGCCTGGGGTTCCTTGTAAGTCTCCGATCGGCTGGCGAGCGGCGGGCGGTTGAGCGATACACGGCGCACCAAGTCTTTCTCCGAGGGAACATAATGCACGCCATCGAAGTCGGTAAACAAGACTCGCGCTTGTTGGTAAGTGTCGGTCGAAGCTGCAGTGCAGGGACGCTCAAGCTCTTCAGCGAGCAGGTGATTGTAATGTTCATGGTCGACCAGACGAAGTTCTCCCCGAGCGGGCGCGGACGGGGGAGGGGGAAGATACGGCATGACGGGCGTGGGGTTGGTCGAGGCAGGGTACGGCACATCAGAATGCTCAGAAACCTGAGCGAGACGCGAAGCCGACTGGATGGAGCCGTGACGGGACGACAGGCTGGGCTTCAACCCGTCTTGATTGTTCGTGTAGACGGAAGAGCCACTTGACCTCCGCTTTTGCTCCAGGTCCAACTTGCGGATCTCGTCCCCAATATTGGTCGAACTCATACTCATGCGTTCGGCACTCCGCTCCAGACGTTCCACATTATTGATATAAGCTCCTTGCAGAGACTGTAGACCGGGGGTTGGATGGTTGAGAGGGATGGGTTCACCGGAGATGGGGCTTCGGAGCGGCGCTTCGGAAGGGGAAGAGTCGACAGTGGTTGCGGTAGTGTCAAGCGGAGGCACACGACGGGGATTCCTGGGACTTTGGGCGGCGGAGGAGGAGGAGGAGGGATCGGCGGGTAGTTCGTAGTCATCGTCTTCAACCATGTCGTAGCTTGTTGAGGTGATCGACCGGATCATCGAGCCTAAACCGCCGATGCTGGAGCTTTCCGCTGACTTGGCAGGTTGCAGATAGCTACCAGCCCCGATATGATCCACGTCCAAGGGCAGTTGTTGGAAAGCAGCATCATGGTGCTGGGAATGAAGGGAAGAACTGCGGGAATGCTGATCATCAGAATCGCTCGCATTGGAAACGACCTCGTGGTCGGCTTGCGAGACGGCGTTGTAAACCATGGTCGAAGGTCTTCGTCGAGAAAATGCTTGCAAGTGTCCAGGCCATCAAGGGTATGAAGAAATTCTTTCAGCAGATCCCAGTTTGCTGGGGGTCAAGGCAGGGCGAAGAAGCTTGAGAGTACGCTGTAGAGTGAGAATGGGGAAAGTCAAAGGGTTTGGCACAGATAAGGAACGAAGGCGGACCCTGCGCTACAACGATAACCGACCCCCTGCAAGGATACAATGTAGAAAGCAGTCGAGGGGAAAGAAGGGAAGAAGGAGGAGAAAAAAAAAAGAAGGAAAAGGAAAGAACAGGAGAAAGGATCAGGGAGCAAGATCCCTTGAATAGATAGAGACAGAGAGAGAGAGAGATTGAGCGTAATAGGAAAAAAAAATTAATACTACGGTAAGTTAATTGGAGATGGGGATCAAGAGGGAGAGAAGGAGGGGTGTGGAGTTTTGAAAAGTAACGTATTGTCTTCGGTTTCTTTTCTGGATTGCTAAATTTGGGTGGTCGAACCAGGCTGGACCGGGAGCAGTGGGTACTACATAGCGTACTCCGTACTATACCTTAGTAAAGTTGTACGTTGACTGGGGATAAGGGGATCCGCCACGCTGTTTGCACCGAACAAGGGTACATACGATACTCGTACTGTATACGTATACACTCACAGTATACCAACAGTCAGCTACAGGCTGTTCTGGGTAAGAGGTCAGGAGACACTCCCTCTCTCGGTACTCTGTACATCTCTCTCAAGACTAAGGACCGAGTGTGAACGGATTTCGACCGAGATCTCGACTCCAGGCCAGATTACCAGTAAAGACTAGTTCAGTCCAATCTGTCTGTCTCAGGGTCTCCTACTGAACAACTTGGGAAAGGACAGCAGCCCCTGGGGAAAATGTCTCACGTACTCCGTACCCGAACTCCCAATCCATTCCCCCCCCTTTCTGACACAAACACCCGCATAGTTATCAGCAATCAATACTTCCAGGAACACCTTCTAAGAACTTTCAGCTTGTCGATCGACCCTCCTACCTGACTTGGTTGACCGAGATAAAAAAACAAACAAACATACAAATTCATACAGTACGTACGGGGTACTATGTATACAGTTACTGCGTACCTAGCCAGCAGTGAGGAATCACAGCAGAGGGCCCAGGCGAGCGACAGCTGGATGTACATACGGTACGGAGTACAGCAACATCCCTCACTTAATTACCCAATGTCCTTTGACTGGTGACCAACGGTGCATCAGAGTAGGGGTTACCGAGTATACCGCCCTTTCAAACATGACCTGCTGCCACCTTGGATCCCTCCTCTTCCGCCGTCTTTCCCCCCAAAGGAAGGATTTCTACCTCCACAGCGATATGACAGATGGCTCTCAGCCTTAGTCCAGGAATCCTTGCTCAGCGAAATTAAAGCCCCACATCCAGGTGAACATCCTGCAGTAGTTCATGACCCATACCAGAGATCTTGAACAGACTCACGTAAAAACTTCAATCGTGAAGAATTCAGCCCATTCCGTACCGTCCATTCATCTCCGTGACCCCGAGTGCCTTCCGCATCTCAATCCCCCCCTCATATCCTCGTTACACTGGAGCATCTGCACATCCACCTTGGTCCAGAGCCAACGCGAACCCACCCACCAACAAAATTCAAAGCGACGAGCAGCCGAGCCATGACCTCATATCTTCCCAAAAATCGCTCAAAAAGAGTCATTGCTGGGGAAGAGAAAGTAAATTAGCATCTCCGGCAAGTGGGGGTATGACGCTATGCTCCCAGACTCCCATCAGGAACGCATTGAACATTTTTGCACGGAAGGTTGAAGCTATCCAAGGCGGTTCTGCTGTCTAGCGTCCTCCTCCACCAGACTAACAGCGATACCAAAAGTCTACAGCCAACAAAGTGTGTCCGGTGCTCGGAAAGCGCTCCACTGTCCTCCCAAATGCGAGCCCCACTTCCATGATTTGCGCAAGAGGCGCCGTAACAGAATCCCCCCCCCCAAAGCTCCACAGGGCCCAACCATCAATCCCTGGGGATGTTGTTGCTGTACTGGATCCTGGTCTACTCCGTAGTTCGCAGCGACTGGGATGCTCGGGAAAATTGGAACAGAATCTAGCAGTCTATACGACCGAGCAGCTGAAAGAATTCAGAGGGGCATGAGTGGCATCTGTTGGACGGCGGAGGGCTGACTATTCGATGGCCAACCAACAGTCTGCAGGCCTGTGTCTGACGGATCAACAAATGATAATTGGCCAACCGCAAAAGGCGCGAGTCCAGTGTGGAGATGACGTTGTCGGGGGTCGCAAGCAGTTCAGCCTTAACTCGGAACCTTCCGTCGGATCGACTCCAGAGGACATCATGGTGTGTTCAGGTTTCGTACATTTGGGATGCTCACATGTAACCATCGACTGATGGACCTTGGCCGGAGGCGAGTGTCTGCCTAAGGATCTTACTTTGGGAATAAGATGGACTCTTTGCATAACCAGGAATCGACTGCGGAAGGCGGGCCGATTATGGTGCAGTGATGAGCACGAACTTCCCGATTGGAAACCCTTCACTAACGGAATGAGAGCGTTCTCCGCACAGCATCTTCTAATATGCTCCCCGAAAACTAGTATGAGCGCTGGTCGAATGTGCCTCCGCATGACCCATTCATCCAGGAGGCATCGAATCCTGAGCTGCGCATTGCGTCACCAGCTGGCAACCTTTGCGAGCGATTGAAGATCTTGCATGGAGCCGTACCATTGATTAAGATCACAGACAGATAGGCTCTTTTTCTTCAGTGGGCTTGACGCGAGGTCAATAGGAGGACGTCGTGAATGAGACTTGACAGAGAGCTTGATTGAAAGTGTAACAAGTTGGGCAGGGTTTGTGAGCAGACCCTGCCAAGGCATTCAAGTGACACGTTCTTTCTGCACCCAAGGAGACTCAAGGACTCTTATACTGCATAGCAATACTCTTATCCCTGATTAGTTATATGCAGTGATCCGGAGAGGATTTCCGTGCTGTGCCGTGAAAAGTGTGAAAAGAGTTGCAAGGTGGACAGACTTTGAATGGGAGCCGAGCCAGGCCAACAGACGTGGCAATCATAAGTCACCTAAGTATACTACGTAGTATTCCCTCTCTGTTCAGATCGTTGAGGTACTCATTCATCAGCCCTGAGAATCTCTTTCACTGCCATTGACCCACTCCCGATACATTCCGAAATAGGCAAATAAGTGCCGCTGAAATAAGCCCATCTTGATTGGCCTTTTACATCTCTCAGCTCAGTCACTAACCCAAGGAGGTTTAGCGTTGTGATGAAATGACTGAGTCCCTGACAGACAGCATCTATAAGATTTCTAAGTTACCGGCTAAGTTGAAAGAGTCATCCATCCATATTCTAAAAGACAAAACACCCAAGCCCCGATCCCGCTAAGTTCTCCAAAGAAGAAACACTTACGCGGAATCGGCCCCCCGCAGTGTTCTTTTTCCGCAGGCTCGGCGCACTGTGCCAATCAGACCACTTTTAAACTGACTCACAAGCCCAAGCGCATGCACGATAGGCGATAACGATTTCAGACCTAACTGTGGGGGGTACTTGCTTTGGCAACAAAAGTAGGACAGGCACAGTGGATCCAAATTACCAGCACCAGAAAATATATGACCGTGTCACTGCCACCCTGAGACCACCTTCAATGCGAAAGATCCATTGTTCTCTCTAACACCAAACTGCATCAATATACTGCCAAAGAATACAAAAAGCACAATGTATCTCCGCGCCATCCACGCGGAATCCCGCATCGCCTACCTCCACCAACTCATCCGCGACAATCCACTGGGCATCCTCACCACCGCCATTAAATCCCCATCCTACCCTCTCCTGCAGACCAGCCACATCCCTTTCGTCCTCGACGTACCGGCCGACACCGACACCAACACCGACACTGACAATGGCACAACCACAACCACAACCACAAACCTCGGCACCTTGCGCGGCCACATGGCCAAACAGAACCCGCAAGCCAAAGCCCTAATGGAAGCGCTCGCGGCCCACCAAACCCAAAGCACCGCGTCCGGCGCCCTCGAGCTCCCCGATGAAGTCCTCATCCTCTTCAACGGACCCTACCACCACTACGTCACGCCCAAGTTCTACACCGAAACGAAACCCGCCACCGGGAAGGTGGTGCCCACGTGGAACTACTCGGCCGCGCAGGTGTACGGCAAGATCCGCGTGTACTGTGATTCCAAGGCCCCCGAGACCGGGGAGTATCTGCAACGGCAGGTGGAGGACCTGTCGCGGCAGGCGGAGACACGGATCATGGGGTACACGGACCAGCCGTGGGAGGTGCGGGATGCGCCGGAGAGCTATGTGGAGTTGCTGAAGAAGAACATCATCGGGATTGAGATCCGCATTGAGCGGTTGCAAGGGAAGGTGAAGATGAGTCAGGAGATGGGGGAGGGGGATCGCGAGGGGGTGGTGAGGGGGTTTGAGGCGTTGGGGAGCGAGGTGGGAACGGGGATTGCAAGGACAGTGCGGGAGAGGGGGGAGATGAGGGAGAGGGAGAAGAAGGTGCAGAGCGGGGAGGATTGATTGTGATGATGCTGATGATGATGCTGTTTGACGGGGGGGCGAGATGGGAGATTCACGCGCTACTGTCCATGTGATTCTTCTCTTCCATCTGGTCCTGGAGACTGTAGTGCATCGTGTGCTGAGGAAATCTAAGACAGACGAGAAGAGAGATATCAACCACTGTCCCCTTCCACTCTGTTCTTCATATATACATATGTCCTCCGGAGTAGCATCCATCGCCACCGCGAAGGTTAATCGGACCCACCCACTCACCCGAGAGCCAGAGATCCTTTCCACAATTCCCGACAGACAGACACATTGACTTCAGGACCCAAGCCCCCGCCCCCCCCTCCAGAATACCAAGAACCAAAATGCCAATCTACAACTGGCGCCCCCTAACCCCAACCGACATCCCCGCCCTCATGCACGTTGCCAACACAGTCCACACAACCCTCCCCGAACGGCCCGAGGTATTCCTCGAACGCTGCAATCTTTATCCCACGGGCTGTCTGGTACTGGACGTCTCACCTTCAGCTAAACCTGCCGCTGCACATACATCCTCATCCGCACCCGCATTCGCATCCTCGCAACCTACACTCCCCTTAATTCAGGGTGGAAGTGTGGAAATCTGCGGCTACGCAATCTCCCACCCCATCCGCACCCACCAGCCGCCCCCGCTCGACACCTTGCTCGGAAACATCCCCGCAGACGCAAAGCAGTACTACATCCATGACGTTGCGATCCTGTCGGAGCACCGGGGCCGGGGCCTTGCGGCGGAGGCGGTGGGGAGGCTTCGTGCTGTTGCGGAGCGGAGTGCGTTTGCGTCGACCGGGTTGGTGGCTGTGTATGGGTCAAAGGGGTTTTGGGGACGGTTTGGGTTTGAGGAGGAGCGTGGGGAGGGGGAGGAGGAAGATTTGAAGAGGAAGGTGGAGGGGTATGGGGGGGATGCTGTTTGGCTTGTGAGGAAGGGGTGATCAGGATGAGTGGAAGGGTGGGAGGGGAGATTGAACTGGGGGGAGATGTGCAGGTGTTTTTTTTTGAGGGAAGGGGTTTTGCTTGCGTCTGGATGTGTTGGGGGGCTCAGGGCTATCGGGATGTGTACGGTGTAGGGTTTCGTATGTATTTGGTGATACTATTTTGTACAGTACGTGCTGCATTGGGCTGCTGCTCAGAGTGTGTACAATATTGGAAACAGGTCCTGTGGGATCTGATATGCCTCAAAATTCATGATATCCATAACTAGAGCCAGCCGATTACTCAAATACCCTCCGCAGATTCTCATACTGACTCATCGGATAATTCAGCGTATTCGGACTCCGATCCAGATCCCCCGTGCGCATCAAAGCATTGACTGTCGTGCGGATCAGACTCCGCTCATGGCCCACAGGATGGTCACCGCTCAGCTCCCACCACATGGCGCCGCCCAGACCCCTGCGCTTGATGTACTCGACCTTCATGTCCGCCACCTGTGGCGTATCGTAGCTGATCACCTTCCGGTCGCCGGGATGATGACTCCAGCTCGCCAGCAGGTTGCTGTCCACAAACTCCTGATGGCCCGCGGGCGGGAGTGCCTTGTAGTCCCACACCCCGTTCTCCCAGGACCCCTCGCCGACGCCCTGGAACGGCCGCCCCGGCCCGTCGGTGTTCTCAAACGCGCGTCCGTACAGCGGCATCCCAAAGATGAGCTTGCTGGGGTGCACCCCCTGCGAGGTGTACGCGTGCACGGCGCGGTCCGCGCTGAATGGGGTGAGTTGCTCATACCCCGGTGGCGCGGGGAAGACGTTGGCCATGTGGCCCGCGTGCTGATCCCAGCTACCAGCAAAGTCGTAGCACATCAGGTTCCAGAAGTCGAGGTAGGGGTCCATGTCGCGGATGTGCAATTTGGACAAATGGGTGGGGCCGCAGGGGGCGGCGATAGTCAGTAGAAGGCGCGCTGGGAGGCGGAGGTGCGCCGCATAGCGGTCAAGCTCGCGCCGGGTCTCTTGTAGGAGGAGCACAAAGTTGGCGGCCTGTTGCGGGTCCGCAGGGTACTCCCAGTCGATGTCGATGCCGTCAAATCCCAAATCAGCGAGGAGGTGCACGGCGCTGCGGGCGAAGGTCTGACGGCCTTCGGCGGTAGAGGCCGGTTGAGCGAAGTTGGCGCTATAAGTCCAGCCGCCGATTGATAACAGGGTCTTGAGGTGTCGGTGTCGCTTCTTGAGGAGGAAGAGCTGTTTAATGCAGCCGTAGGCGTTGGTGTTTGGTTCGTCCCAAGAGTCGCTGGGGTAGTGTTTCTCAAGGTCGGAGTAGGTGTCTGTTAGGAAACTAGAAGGGACAAGAGTTAGATTCCAAGAACCATTAAGAAGAATGCGTAGCGTACACTTCGCCGGTGTTTCGGATATTGGCGAAGGAATCTGGTGTCAATTAGCTGGTGATTTCTTCCGCGAGGGTAGAGGCCATACATAGGATATGTGTAATGTACTCTGCTGGGATGTCCTGGGGTTGGTAGTTCCGACCATACACACCCTATAGACAGTCAGCTATATTCAAAAATCTGTGCATTGCAGAACATACCCAGTTGGTGAAATATGCAACTGTCTTGTAGGCAGGCCCATGGGCAACGCCGGGAGCCGGTGGCGGAGCCACCATCTGTGGAGGAACCGGAGGGGCAGCACGTGCGATATTATAGCTGGGTGCGGGTGCTGCGGAGTTATTCAGATCTCGAGAAGCCAGATCTGCGGTCTGCATTTGCGGGTCGGCTCTGGGAGCTTGACCCGATGGAATCTGCAGCTCCTGGCCTGGATAGATGAGATCCGGATTGGTGAGCTGCGGGTTGGCTGCTTTGAGGGCATCCAGAGTGACGCCATGGTCTTGAGCAATCTTCCACAGGGAGTCTCCGCTGACAATTGTATATGTAGGCATCCTGAAGTTGTTTTGATATTTTGCTTAGAGGTGTTGGATAGTTGGTTGGAGGAGGGAAAGGCCGAGAATGACGATGAGGCGGTTGAAGATACGGCGGTTCAGGCACCAACTGCAGTCAACCTTAATTCTTTATTTATCGAGGCGTTTAGCCCGACGTGGCTTAGCAGTGTCCCACCTGCCTGTTACGGATTAGGGGGCTGTTGGTGCCTCAGGCCGGAGACAACCATGGCTGAAGGATTGCATCCACCTCCAGTGCCACTTAAGTAGCCCTGTCGGTAAGTCGCCGTTACCAATCATGATTACCTCGCCCGAAGAAAGCTGAGCCGGGCTTCACAGTTGCAAGCAACCGTCCTATTTGGTGATAAGTGCCACTCGGTGCTTGGACATGTTGTAGCCTAAGAGTATGACAGCCCACGGTCAAAAGTCTCATTGCCTCTGTGCCTTGCATATAAGCAGCCGAGTGCTACGACACTGTCATACTCAGTAGTTACGAACAGTCTCTGCTCCTGGCCCCTGGCCCCCACATACTGTCGAAAAGTGGCCTCTGATTGGATAACTTGGGGTTGGTAGTGGGCGTGTAGCTGTGTAATTTGGAGCTAGTTGCATTTTTAAGGATGACGGACGGACCGAGAGCCCGAGTTCGAGTTGCCTTACAATGACATTGTGGTGGTGGCTGGCTACTTACAAGCCTTCAATCAAGCAAGGAGTTCAGCCCGCCCGAGAAACCGAGAGATCCGATGATCCATCGTCTAATCCTGATTCGGCCATCACGTGGCGCCGCCATCCGTCCGAAAGTTCTTCTGACAGTTTCAGAGTTTGAGATTGAGCAATGTGAATTTCCACTTTCTCGGCCAGATACTGGACAATTCACTCTGGAGTAGAGACTTAATTTCCTTTCCTCCCCCCTGATGATGACGCCCCCATCACCTCATCTTGTTTGGCTCCAGATAGTGTCGCTGATCGTGATGCGATGATTGGTCTTTGTCTGCAAGTTAGGCAGCTGCGCGAATCAGGAATGGCAAAAGGCCCACGCGTACCATCAACTTTGGGTTCCACCACTAACTTCAATCTAAGGCTGATGACTGCGCCATGAGGAACTGGGAAAGAGATCCTGATCCCCACGGTAGTCAGTAACCCAGTCGGTTCGGGTTTTTTCTCCCCTCCTCTGTCCACTTCGCTTCTTTCTCTGTGTCTCATTTAACTCATTGATCTTATTATTATCCCCGCCCCTCGCCTCCCCACCATGCAAATCTTCTTCTTCTTTCGCATGGCTTGATCTTCGCCACTGTTCATACCTCCCATCCCCCATCTAATCTATATGCATCCTGCCAGCTGAGATGAACCTCCACCAGGTGCAATGGCACCTTGCTCGAGCGGCCATGCTGATGGCTGCTCTGTGTCTCGTCTTCTACCTCTTCGCAAACCGAAATAGCCTCTCTACCGTCAATGAGGGCCAGATGGTCAACGATGTCGAAGCTGTTGTTCCCGCCCTCTCCGCCTGCGACGATTTCGACCCCGCCAGCGTATCGATTGACCTCCACGGACGACTAAACGCCAAAGCTCCAATCAATGGCAGCGCCGTCGATGATTTTGTCTGCTCCATAGTAAAGCATGATATGAAACAGACCGTCCATCTCGACTGCCCGCTCAATATCAGCTCTCGTTATAACAGTCTGCGCGTGCAGCCGAGCTGGGGCAACACCAAACCAAAAGTCAAATACTTCTTCGCTCTGGACCTACACCAAGCCGCCCACATCCTCATGCCCCTGATGGGTGCCATCTTGGATACCATGCGGTTCATTGGTCCTCAGTATTGTGCTCTCTCCATCGTCGAAGGCCGGTCCACCGACGGCACGTACGACATTCTCCTTGCATTGGAACGTGAGCTCGCCGCTATGGGTGTGCGATACTTTCTGGCAACAAATGATCTGAATCCCAAGGCAGAGGGGGAGGATCGCATCAAGGATCTGGCGATTCTGCGCAATCAGGCCATCGCTCCGCTGGTCACCGCCGGAACCGGCAAGTTCAGCCCGTACGCCGCCGATGCGCTGATCGTCTTCGTCAATGATATCGTTCTGTGCACGGAAGATCTGCTCGAGCTCGTCTACCAGCATCAGCAGCAAGATGCGCAGATGACTTGCGCATTCGACTGGAATGCGGGAGGGGGCTCCTTCTATGATTCCTGGGTGTCCCGGTCCATGTCTGGCAACCTCTTTTTCGAGATCACCCATGATGCCCGGTATTGGATTGGTAAGGATATGTTCTTCGACGACTCATTCAGCGCGGAACGCTACGGGCGAGGTCTTCCCGTGCAGGTTTACTCGTGCTGGGGCGGTATGGTGACCCTCAACGCGGCGCCATTTGTGCAGAAATCAATCACATTCCGCAACTCGGAACCCGGCGAATGCTATATGGGTGAGCCAATGACGCTGGCCAAGGATCTCTGGAAGGCGGGTTTGGGCAAGATCCTGGCCGTATCCAGCATCAATGTCGCGTACGAATACAAGTCGACGCGAGAAGCAAAGGAGACATATAAATACGTGCACCAAATCATTCGAAGGGAGAAATATAAGACCGGGCCCGAATTGGTCGAGTGGCAGGCAAAGCCGCCGCCGAGGGTCAAATGCATGCCGTGGTTCAACAACCAATATTGGGTGGACCCGATGTAAATACTATCTGTGATACCAAGCATATATTCTTTTTTTGTTTATCTTCTGTCTCTTTTATGGCCTTTGTCGCGGGTTGCTGCTGGTACAATGACGAACTTTGTGACTAGTACCTTGCACTACATCATATTTTATATTTACCTAATTTGATTGACACCTCGATCGATTATCCGCCTGCAATCGAACAATGGAAGTCCTAGCACTATGAGCATACGAGGGATGAGTGATTTAAACAGAAACCAATCCAACGCCACATCGAAAGATAGACTTCCAGTTTGCATCGGGGAAAACATCTAGGATGGCACCTATCGGCCACGAGTTGACGCGTACGTACTATCCAGACACCCCCTAGCCATGTTTTGGGGACAGCTTTTTCGGCACTGCCGTTCTCTACATTTGCCATGATTACCTGTCATTTACTTACTACCTAGCTTGCGGGGTAGAGCGTCATGACAGCCTTAAACAGCCACTTGGAAAAAGTGTAATGCAATTCACTAGTCCTCGTACTCGCCCTTCTTCCGAGGGTTACCAATGAAGACCTACAACAAGAATTCCATTCACCATACCATATATCGAAAAAAAGGATAGAAATGTGAATATCTTCTATACCTTCAATCATTCATCCCCGTATACAAAGTATACTTCCCCCTTATTCAAGGCCTGCACCATATTCTCGCTCTACGGTCCTAACTGTTCACCATCTCATTCGGACAAACTCATTCACGGCTTCCTCTCTGACCGAGCTTCTTCGCCCACCTGTTTCCCCTTTCACCTTTCCTACTCTCCCTTCTATCATCCATCCTCTCATCAACCAAGGCTTCTACCTTTACCCCCCCTTCCACCCTCTAGTCATTCTTTTTCTCCTTCAACTTACCTGGTATCCCCAACAGAGTATCAATCAGCTACAGAACGTTGGTCAAGACTCATGAGCCCTATCGTTATATCTTGCTTGAGCAGCTACTCACAGCTGAATAGGTATGTTATTCCCGAAATGTCTGTGGCGGATGGACTGTCAATACCAGTCACCGATTCGACGTTTGGAGGATAAAAATATCAAGCTCGAGCCGAAGAAAGCATTCATAGTCTTTTGGTCAGTGCCGTTGCTAAGCCAAAGAGTCGAGGGACTAGGCTTAAGCACCCCAGCGGACAAGTTCGAGACACTGCGTGCACTTGAATTGCTGAACAACGGAGTTTCGACATGAGAGCGCTACTTAGGTGGGTAATTTCAGGCCCTTACTATGGGAGCTTTACTGATTCTTGCTATTCACCTCGGCTCCCTTCGACAGATTACATTCTTACTGATCGATGTGCGTTGACCTATATCAGGAAGCCAGTTATGAACACTTGGAAGAGCTTAATACAGTGTCTGAGGAACGTCATCGACTCCTTGCGGAACTCAGTCAAATACTCGATGAACCTGTCTTGCGCTTGTGGTGGGCGGTACTCCTGTCCTGCGATGTGGAGAAACTCAGGGAGTCGGTGAAGAGGGTGATAAAACTCGGTGTCACTAGCTGGAAAGTCTCAACCGAGGCGACGATGAAGCGGACGGAGGTCATGTTGAAGCAGTGGGGGGCAGCTCTATCGTCCTGCACGTCTTCCACGGCGGAGGACGTCACTCGAGCCCGCTTCATGTCTTGGATTCACCCTCCGTTCGCTTACCAGTGGGGCTGCGTGGGAGATTGAAAAGAAGAATCTTCTTGCCCGTTTCATTGAGTGTAAGGGTCTGTTTTGGATGTTCTGAGATAATATGCATGCAAATACGCCCAGGAAAGAAGTCAAAGAGATCCTTGAGTGGAGCCATGGATTGAGAAGCCAAGACACTCTTGGAGACCTTGGAAATGAACCAAAGTCAGCCCGCGTGCAGGCTGGACACATCAAGAGAATCGTTCCTGCGCCGGGCGTGGGTGCGTCTGATGCTGTTTCGCAGGCGGGCCCTGCTCGCTCGTTGAGTCTCCCGGTTGGTGCGTTCGTTGCGCCGCAGGCCATCGTGGCCACCGATGCAGGGCCTTCGGTCGGAAAACATGACAAGCCGATGAGGTTTCTTCAGCTGCGCAAGTGCGAAGAGCTCCTAGAGGTGGATTGTCCAAGCTACCGCTACCCGACCGATGCCGTGCGCAAGACAAAAATGGCTATCGTAGAGATCAAAACAAACTCGCGGTGCGGAAGGGCAGATCTTGCGTACATGACGCAGCGAGCATAACGGCGAGGTGCCCCGATATAATCGGCAATAAGTGCAGCAGTGTGGGGGACGAGAGGGGGCCTAAACTAGACACGTCAAGCGAGGCCTCTTCTATAGCCGTCAGTTCGAGGCCAAGAAACCTTTGCATGCTTCGACTGTGCACAGTGCCCCATTTAATATGTATCGAAGAGATATTACCGAAATCTGCCGGGGAATCAGCTGGTGAAGCTCAATTGGCTCCCGAGCTGAAGACTATACCTTCTAGTATCAAGGATAAGTAGGCTCCTTATGACTACTGCAGGTAAACTTCTTGATGCTTATCTCATTGAGATGGTTAAGTTTGAGGAAATTGAGACTGACTGTAAATGGAAGCGACCCTACTGCATGCGAAATCTCGAAGCGGCGTTGCACTACAGCACGAGCTTTTGCTGTTAACGGTGATAATAAGCACAAAAGACGATAGGATACAGCTATGTGGGTGCCTCGCGGCGATACTCGGCATATGCTCAGGCCAACTGTTAGACCCTACGGACGATGATTGGTTTCAAGATAGACGGGCCATCTTCAATGCAAAAAAAGCGTACGCATCCTATACGTTGTCAATGGGACCAGCTACATTCAATATGCGTCTAAACGAGAACACCAGTCAAAGCAGACGATGACGTTCCTAGACTTCTGCCTGTTGCGAATTGCTGTCGGTTACCTGGGATGACCGATGGATTCACAGCCAGATGCTGAGAGACAAATGTAACAAAGTGAAGTCGAAGTAAGTAGCCCACTATCTATGAAAGCTTTGAAGATCAAAACTGACTAAATGAAAAGTTGTTCGAATGCCATCTATGCGAAGAGCTCGGTCATGTCAAAGCTCATTGCAAGGATCTCCATCGCCCAGGAGCGTGCTGCGTTTGTATGTACTCCTTCTCTTTTGCCTCAAAGATTCTTCAAGTAGTAATATCTCTTATCAGCTCGTTGCAGTGAGTATAAATCATCCTTTACACCAAACCGAGGCTGACTATAGAAGGTTCAAAACCTCCCGCCGCCCGTCCTGCCTCGCCCCATGGGCCCCAGTCGACAAACGAAAACGCGGATCTGAAAGACGAACTCAGGCTTCTAAAGACAATACACAACTACCGAAGCTCAACAAACTGAATAAGAACTTGACAGAGCAATTATACTCTCGCAGTTCGGGCCGTTGCTCAATCTTTTATCGTTTCAACTTATTCTCACACGGCTTGCATTGAATTCCTACCTGAACACGCAGGAATCTCTATAGACGTGAATGCTTGCACATGAAGCGACAAGCAATAGGGTTTCTTTCTCTCTGATGTCCCCGCCAGGCAACGATCGCCTGATCCCATACAGGAGCAGTCGGTGACAGACCTGGCCAGTTTTGGCATGCTGACATATAGGTTCCGAGAACTCCTGATAGAGCTTCATGTTTCGCCTCAGTTTGGCATTCTAGCGAGGTGCCGGAAATTCCTCTGACGGTGGGTTGTGCAGCAGATTGAAGGTATGCTGGTTGTCACCCGCCTTGAGACTTCGCGCTCGACTCGACAATTCTTAAGCCAATTCAGTACATCAGCACTATCTGAGAGCAACCTATACTCAGAGATCATGGCTCTCAGCTTATTTGGGTCGCGACTCACTAGGAGCCTTGATTACAGCCCTACAAACAATAAGATCATCTATAAAACCAGGGGTAGTACAGTCATCATGGAAGATGAAGGGACCTGGATAAGAAGTCCTTGTCGAGATGGATAAAACTGGTAACAGAATTGAGGGGCTAGCGAGGGTGTCTTTGGCATCAAACCCCTGCAGTTGCTGCTACCGATCTGCACGATGACCCTGGAGGCTGCACCGGGAAATGAGACGACCTTTACTGTCGCGCTCCTAGTAGCATTCACCTGGTATCGTCCTCAAGAAATGTCTACCAAACCGCTTAAAAGCGGACTAGGAACGCCTGGATTTAAACTGGCCTCCTCGGAGCCAGTCTAGAGATTTTTATTGTTTCTTGTATGGAGGGGAAAATGGTGGTCTCATCAGAAGCCTACGCTATCCGCTATCACAATAAATCTCAACCTACATGAATCCATCTTGGCTGGATTATGGAGACAGAATTGGGCGGCATTCCATAGTGACGATTGCTGCACATATTGTGTCAGCAACGATTATGAATGCTGGGTCTACACCGACTTAACGACAACAACCCGAGCACTTCGGGCACAATGTTGACTGAATGATCGATCTGCTATTCTGATGTTCATGGAGCAGTGAATTCATATCAGCTTGTCCGCCCCCAGCTTTCCCATACTTCGGATATCCCCTGCTAGCAGCATCACTAAGTCAGTCCCAATGATATAGCGACCTTGCAGTGCGCCTGTTGGCGGAACGGCATCAAGAGCAGGGAGGGACTGGTGGGGGTTTTTGAGAGTTCTGGGATCGACAGTGAGCTATGCACACACATTGTCTTTCTGACACAATGGTGCTTCTTGCCTTATTTATCACAGGCATCTGCCTTGAAGCTTGTGCTTACCAGGTACTTGAAGTCAACGCCCATCGTCAAGATGCCAGATGTGGTGGACCGGTGAGTTTCTTCCAGGTCAGCCTGGCGTACTTAGCCCTGGCATCGGGATTTCCAGCCTCTGAACTCATTCACTAAGCTGGACGTGACTGTCTTCTTGCCTTTGCCGTACACTGCATAGCGCCTTCAAGATGAAGAATGATGAAGAATGATTGTCTAGGCTAAATCTACCATCCATTACCTGCTAAATCAGCTTGACTTGGACTTCTGCCTCCTCCTGGTCCAACTTATGTACCTCATTCACGAGCTTTCTAATGGCAAGCAGTCTGATTCACCCTACCTCTTGCCAAAAATTCTGGATATCTAAATAAGTTCTACGCTTATGAAAGGAGCATCTATCACAGCTTGAATTAGTGAGCTGACAAGCAAGTCCTTGAAAATCGGGCAGCTCATTGCTTTCGTGCTCTGCTTGGTCTGCTATCACACGGGAGCAGTGTCTTCTATTTCGCACAATCAGACTGGCACCGCGGCGTGGATACAATCCCCAGGAGAGGAATTGCATGTCCCAGAAACTTTGCAAGAGGCAGGGTTTGATGCAGAGAGGATTTACAGTGGACACACTGTAAAAGAATGAGCAGAAATTAATGCACGGTTTAAGCCTCCTGCCAGTTCCACAAGGGAGGGAGGGGGCTCAAAGAAACGTACCCTATAACACCCCACATTGAGGTCCATCTCGACGCGATATTCAAGCTGGATGTTGCGGTACTTTCCTGCAACGAGTTCTGGTTGCTTTAAACACCACTATAAGTACACGGCTCTATCCTGTCTATCCTGAGAGTGGTTGCTGGTTCGAGTACCAGACCAAAGCACTTACTTCATCAGATCACAGACTGAAAAAGATTCAAACTGCGTTACGGGAGTGTCACCTGACTGCGTTCGTATGGGGTTCTTCTTTCCCTGGATCCTCCTGGGGATCCTCTTAGAAAGAATCAACATCTTCAATGGCATTCATGATTCATATTTCCCTACGGAATAACCCGTAGATGATAGGGAGTCAACCATGACCAGTTTCCTAAGCTCGATTAATCGAAGCGAATCCCACTTCATTATCGTTGCGAACTATGCCCAGACAGACGTACTTCACCCTATTCTCCGTTCTGAGGGTATTTTTGAAGAAGCGACGGGCCGCACGTTATATACAAGAGAGACTTGGTGGTTTCCCGGATGAGAATCCTCATGTACCAACCAGTGGACTCGTCAGGCTTGTGGCGTGCCCCTATTGAACCATTATATACCTTTGCTCAGGGGCTTGGATAACTCTGTTCTAAGTGCGATAGCGCATCAAAACCCCGGTGTATAGGGTATGGATACTCTTCTTCCCGCGTCTTACTTTCCCCGCATTGGCATGTTGAGAAATACGGCGCTGGCGGAGGAGCTGGAAGGGCGCGCAAGCGCACTCGCGCTGCAACGCTGCGGCTGGCAGTTTACCTGCGCAAGGAGGAGGAGAAGGAGACACCCAGGGGAAAGAAGGGGGGGTAAGAGTGCCCCGATGGAAACTTCGTGATCAGGATTTATCTCCCGGGAATAAGGCAAATCAAGCTTTGCAGCTGGAGCCGTCAACTGATAGCACTTAGTGCTGAATTGTGCGCCTTGCTCGATCCTTTTGATGTCTACTTACAGCATTTCAGAAAAGGTACAAGCTGAATAGATTTAGTCGCTCGGAAAGCTGTTTCTCAACGACTTGAGTCTTTTATATGACCTGGTGTGACGGTGCTTTGTAGGTTTGTAGAATAAGATAATTCCGGCAAAACTGAGTAGCAAGCTACAGTGTAGTAACTAGTATCGATTACAGCGTATTTGTGACGTGTCTCTGTGAAGACAAGGATTGAGTTGCACGCTTGCGGATGTCGACTCCCGATTAACCAGAGGGTAGATTAGTAGGTGATTGGTTGTCGGGACTCCTGAAAGAACCGGATATGCTACCATTGAGTAGTGGCATCGAGAAATGCTTCTGGTGACTAAGAGTCTTGTACTTAATTGCTTCTTCTGTGCTCGGCATCCTAGCTACGTATATATATATCCCAGCAGTCCCCTGAACGGGAAGACACAAACAGAACAGGAACCAAGGGAGATGAAGTGGCCCGGGGCCTGGGGCAACAATGAGGAAGGGTCGGAATGCTTTAGCTCATGATTAATAGAACACAAGAAAAACACTTAGCACATCAACCAGCATCATTGGTCTAGTGGTAGAATTCATCGTTGCCATCGATGAGGCCCGTGTTCGATTCACGGATGATGCACTTCTTTCTTTTGCTTTTTGTCCTTTCGCAATCACTAGCAGTTTTGTCACTGCTATTTGTCTCCCGATTCTATTTGTCATATTCTTGTGCTTCTTCCGTCTCTCACGGCTTCACCAGTCATACAAGGCTGCTGTTAATAATATCTCATCGCCCGTTATTCTTCGCCGTGCAGATCATACACATAAGTCACTCTGTGGCCATCCACATCTCCCCGACAAATCCACAAATTGATTGACCAGTCGGCTGATCCACAAGCTCAAGTGGCCTCAGGGCATCAAGCCCGGTGTCGCCGAGATCGTAGGCAACTCCTCCATCTGCCCGGCCGGATACCCCAGCACGCCACTGTCCGGCTCTACATCTTTCCTCGTACCTGACCGTCGATCAGCAAGGCAGAGCAGCCACGGAATATATGCAACGCAAACCTGATTGTAATCTGCTCCGGCCTTTGTACTCCGGCATTTCCCACCTGTTCTATAGTTTTCGACTGTATACAGTATACATCCAAGCTAAACCACTGATCAACCCTTTATCTTCACGCCTCAAACTAGAGGAAAGATGCTCTGCTTATCGGCAGCGATAAGCGCGGCACTTCATGGGATCGATCTGGCTAGCGCCAAAGACTAAGAAGTGGGGCACCACGCGGTCGGACCACGTAACTTAGTTATACTTCAAACTTACGGAGACATACTTATATAAACCCAACCCTCCCCTAAGATTCTGACAGCACGACATAAACACACCCTTCTAACACCGTCAACAATGGACACGCCCGAGTACGCAACTGAAAAAACCAAAATGCTGCGCGGCGAGATGTACCGCGCCTTCACACCAGGACTCATGGCCGCACGCCACCGCTGCAAAGTCGCCGTGCACGCCTTCAACAACGCCGGGATTGTGCCTCGACGACGACAGGTCGAACTCTGGAGAGCGTAGGCTTGAAACCCTCCCTGCCCCTTTTTCTTGCCTAGTAGCACTCTAGAAACGACATTGAATGTACGCAGGATCATCCAAGACCCCCGTCCCCTGCCCCCGCCCGCTTCCTCCCCGGAAGGAGACGAAGCGCTCTTCGAGCACGACCCCTGGGTCGAGGATCCCATCCGCGTGGACTATGGGTTCAATGTGCAGGTGGGCGCGGGCACGTTTATCAATTCCAATTGCACGATCATCGATACATGTCGCGTGGTGATCGGCGAGCGGTGTCTGTTCGGGCCGAATGTGAGTCTGTATAGCGGCGTGCATCCGCTGGATGCGGAGGTGCGGAATGGTACGGCTGGGCCGGAGTATGGGAAGGAGATTCACATCGGTGATGATTGTTGGTTGGCGGGCGATGTTAAGGTTCTTGCTGGGGTCACTATTGGGAAGGGCTCGACGGTGGGGGCTGGGAGTGTCGTTACTAGAGTGAGTTTTTTTTGCCTTTCGTTTCTTTTTTTTTTTCTGTTCAGAAAAAGGGGTGGGGGGCTGTGAGCTGACAAGGGCTGTGCAGGATGTTCCGCCTTTTTGTGTGGTGGTGGGGAATCCGGCGAGGGTGTTGAAGTATTTGAAGGGGAGTCCGCATTATCAGGAGGAAGGGAAATCTGCATGATGGTTTTGATTTCACATGGAGAGCGCAAGAGCACTACGGTTCAGAAATAGAGTGAGTGTGAAGATCTGCACAGGTAGCAAGAAATAGTACATGAAGGATGTACAGGTCTGATCGCGCATTATCAACAGGAGAAAACGAAATAAAATAGGTAGAACGTAGTGCTCATTTAGAAAATACTTCCACTATGATGGGAATCGTCCAATGTGCTCTGTTCAGCGTTGAGAAAGGTTGACGGCTGCCATCAAAACTGCACGAGGAAATCCGGAGGCACTGGTGCGAAGGACCATCGACTGGGGGTTGGATTCACCACAGGCCCTTGGCGGATTTCAAGTCGATCTGAATTCGGGTCAGGGGTGCACGTCCACTGCGGCTCCAGCTGCTGCAAGCACACGATACGATACGGCAAATCCTGAAATTTGTCATTATAGACGATCGCGTAGTCATTGTAGCAGGCAACCCACTGCTCGACCCCCACGACAACGGCCCGCGGATAACGCCCAATATGCATCACATGCTCGAAGTAGTGAGCCTTCAGCTCCTCGCGATGGATATGGATCTGTCCTTTCTGAGGGAAGACGACACCAAAGAACAAGGAGCTCAGATTAGACAGGCCGCCAATTCGGGTATAGCTGCTGGGAGATAGCATCCAGGTTTTGTATCGTTTCGCAACCGCACCCCCGCAGAGCACGTACCAGCCCTTGAACACCGGATAGGACTCGAGACCGTGCGCGACACCCACGAAGGTCTCGCCCATGGGGACGCGGTTGGCCCGGATGGCCCCGTCCCCCTGGAACTCACTCCAGTATCGGGTAGTGCGTTCGTTCCTGCTCATATATCTGAAAACCTGGTACATCCAGGCATCGGAGAGCCGGACCCCTTCCGGAGGCCAGCCGTGCTTAAGAGGGTCCCACACTCCCCGCACCAAGGGCCAGTGTCGGTAAGGCTTATCGGTGAAGATCTGGCCCTGGGGCTTCTCGGGTTTTGGCGGGGGCGGGTCGCCCAATGTCCAGAATGAGGTGGGCTCGTGATAATCGTCAAGGAGTTCCATGCATCTGTAACGCAAATGTTCCAGGTCTTCATAGTACTCTCGGGACGCCTCAACCACACGGCTGCCGTTCATTTTGACTCGGTGAGGTATTGGGATGTAACTCGAGGTGAATCAATGGTATATTGCTAGCGAAAGTGATTAGACTTGGACTGGGGATGTGTGGATGTATAGTTATGGACTAACTGGTGTTTCAATCAAGAAAGTGCGCAATGGACAGAGGCGTCACGCGAAGATAACGAATTCCAATATGGCCAGAACTCCGATGAGAAAGATTTGAGAAGGATGAAGATAGGAGTTGGTGTTGAATTGGAAGACCAATACTTCATGAAGACTCGATAGGAATCAGAAGATTGCTGGCTCTGTTGTGCTTATATGCAGCAGGAGAGGCTTTTTTGAAGTTGGATTCACCACATCAGGAATCCGAAGTGAATGTAGGGTTAAGTGGAGTGCGGGACTTCACTGCGTGAACATCATTACATGAATATAGCTATGCCACCCATGGCTTATACATAATTGAATCGTCTTGTGATAGGAAGGATCTCCAGAAGAAGATATCTAACTATTAATGCAAAAAATGATCTTCGCATGCGGTGTTCTGTGATAATTATTATTACAATCACCACAAGCTGCATTACGTGTGTTACATAAGCGCACAAGCCTCTAAGTTGGTCAAGTTACCAGCATAAAACCCCACATAGAAAGTCCTTAGATTCATCCTTATTTCTCCTGATCAACACAGCTCCACACAACAGCTATACAATCACCTTGTCAGCTTGACTGCACCTTTTATAAGACGAAAATCTAAGTTGTGAGCTGTTTGTGTATTATAGCTCCCTCAATATCGTTATGGAGTCCGACACGTTGCCTCAACAGCGGAAGAAGCCATATCAGCGATCCACCACCGGTTGTATTATGTGCCGCACCCGAAAGAAGAAATGCGACGAACAGCATCCCATTTGCATAGGCTGCCAGCGCAATAAGTTGATTTGTGAATGGCCTTCTGTGGAGAGACCTCAGCGCAAACCACGTCGTCCGCAGCACCACCACTTGACGCACACGGGCTATGCACTCCCCCCTCATATTGAGGCGATGATCACCGTCTTTGCTGTACCTGATGCAGACATGGCCAGTCGTCTCCTGTCGCACTTTACCGACTACAGCCCGCGATGGCTCTCCACCCGCACAGGACGCCGCCGGTCGGCGTTCTTGGATCATCTCATTCCAGCCGCGATGGACAGTCCGCTCATCCTGAAATGCATGCTGACCGTAGCAGCCGCGGATCTGGTCAAGTACGATCCTTTCAATGTGAGACTAAAGGGAGCTACGGTGGAGTACTGCGGCGAAGCACTGACGAGCCTTCGCGAAGCCATCGCCAACGAAGAGAGATCGGGGGCCGGCCTCTCAGGTAGGATGAGTCGGCCCCCCTACCGTGATTCTGCTAATAGGCGCAGACTATACCCTGTTAGCTATATTATTGATATGTCTCCACGAGGTAAGTTCATTTATGCCTGTCGTGGACAGAGACTAACACTTACAGGTTCAAAATTTTACTCATGTGCAACGGCTACTGCCTCATCTGAACGCTGCTGCTACCCTCTTCTCGCAGAGGGGAGAGGAGGCGCCACCCAACTCGGAGCTCCGGCAGTACATGTCTGAGATATTCTGCTATTTTTTCGCCCTCACGACATTCACCCACGGCTCCCACCTCGCCGTTCACCGCGGCTCATCGATCCTTGAATCATATCTGACCTTCCCTGGCGGCACAGGCGCAATTTTGGGCAGTGCCCAGCAGATCTTCCTCATCATCTTCCGGGCGTCCCGCCTCATTCAACAAGCCAAAAAAGCCGGCGTACCACTTGACACGACTATTAAAACCAAGCTCACAGCAATGGAGCGACAACTCCACGCCCTTCAGAGCACCACGCTACCTCCGTTCAGCACGGGCTACACCAACATGGAAGAACACGGCGACGCCATCATGTCCGAGCTCTACAGACTCGCATGTGTTTTGTACCTCAAACGAACGATTGATCCTGCCCTCGATGTCAGGTCCAACGCAATCCAAGCTCTTGTGACCGACTTCATTCGATTGTTGGAACTGCTCCCGCCGCACCACCCCGTGAACTGTATCTTGTGTTGGCCGCTGGTAGTCGCCGGTCTGTGTACGACGCTGCATGCGCACCAGCGGGTGATCACGACGCGGCTGGGACAGATCTACGGGGTGTGGACGTCGGAGCTGGTGACGATGAGTATGGAGCTTTTGCGACAGATGAATGGTCCGGCATCGGAGGGTCGGAGCATAGCTGCGTATGGGATGCATGATTTGCAGTTTCCAATGGTTCTTCTGTAGTCATGGCACCTGGAGAAAGAGATATGCTCACGAGCCACAAAGGATGATACAGCGAAAGAGATGCAGATATTGATTACTACCTATTACTACCTAGGGACAAAGACATAACAGGGACTTCCCTCAGCCCAACCAAAACTTATATACTCATAAACAATGATAGCTACTTTCATAGACAAATTATATAAGGCCGTCGCAATAGACCGCCAACTGAGTTCTCGAAGATCCCCACAACAACAACTCATTGCAGAGTTTGAGTCAAACCTCGACCAGAGAACCACATTGAGCGACAGCAACATCAAACCACACCAGACCCTCTACACCCCAAGCCGGGGTTCCCCCATGATCCCATCCACAATTCGCTACCAGCTCCGAGTGCCTGGAGATGGCAGTGCCGTCACCAGGCTCCGCCAACCTTCAGCGGGACCAGCAGCCTCCCACATCTCCACACCAAGCTGGACCGGCGACAGCTTGTGCTCCAGTGTGACCAACCCTGTCTCTTCTCCTGTCTCTCCCACTGCCTCTCCCACTGCCTCTCCCTCTGCCTCTCCCTCTGTCTCTCCCTCTGTCTCTCCCTCTGTCTCTCCCTCTGTCTCTCCCTCTGTCTCTCCCTCTGTCTCTCCCTCTGTCTCTCCCTCTG